GTGTCATACTCCCCTGCTAGTTGTTTCACAGTTAAATGCCAAAACGCCATTTTCACAAAGTTTGCCCCGAAAGCAAGCAGACGAGGACGCGAACGATGTCTCGAAGGAAAGCGACCACAAAGACGAAAACGGGACCGAAGGAGAAGCAGACGCAAGCGATGGCGATGCCCACGTTGGTTAAAGCATAAAAGTCAAAGGCGAGCGAAGCAGCAAAAAGTCGGTTTTTGCTTTCAAAAATTGCCAAAAACTTGTGTTGTTCTTGTTGTTGTTGTATTTGTTGTTTGTGTTGAAGCTTTATCAACGCCCTGTGCCAGCGAGCACACTTGTTGAGCATTAGGAGGGCTCGCGACGCACTAGGGCGAAGCGAAAGGACAGATGAGTGAGAACAGCAATAACCGTTACAGCAACAGCTAGAAGAAGATGAAAAACAGCGCAACAAAAGTGACAAAGAAATTGAAATTCTGTCGGTGTACGGGAGGTGGGCCAAATGGGTTGAGTGGAAGTGGTTTGTGGGTTGGTTAATCGGTTGTTCTAATACCCTGTAGAACCAAAATATGTATGTATATATATATATATATATATAAATGTATATATGCTTATATAAAATGTAAGTTATTAATATAATTGTTGCTATGTTTTCAATATATATATTGTTGTTTAATATGTTGTGTTATATAATGATCTTGATTACATACTACAGGGTATATCTCAGTTCGTATTCAAAGAAGCAGTAAAATGCAGTTCTATAGGTAATAAGAGTGTAATCAATGAACGTTTGTACAGCTGGTAAAGTATTAAATTTTATACAGGGTGATTAACAGTCGAGGCTCAAAAACTAGTAAGGAATAGCGGAATGTTTACAAATATGTTTATATATATATATTTATGTATATATATATATATATATATATACATAAATAGGTGCCCAGATGTAAATGGTAATTACCAGGCATAGAGCTGTGGTAGAGGGTATGTTTTATTCGAGCAAAAAAACTCACACAAGGAATTGCGGCTAGACCACATTTAAGGCCTAAGTATGCACATATGTAATAATTGTTCAGCGTAAAATTGAAATACATGGTATAAATCAGTCATGCACACGTTAAAGATTTTTGTCTGTCTGTGTGCCCCTTCTGGCAGTTAACTGTATTGGCGGATGAAGAGAAGGTAATGACAAAAGTTCGTTATCAAACGCAAACACACACCTACACACACACACACCTGTGCACACAGACAGACACAACATTGCTCTGGCGCAACTATAATGCAGTCAGCTCACGGACTGGCAAAAATGTTCAGCTCGACCAAGAAGAAACCCAAACGCATTCGAAGCTTCCGGCGATTGCTGGCATCGGGCGTTTGCAACCTTTTTGGCCTTCAACACGACACGTAGAAGGGGCTTATAGCCTGGAGCGGTAAAAGCTGCAGACTAGTTGCCCTTTCAATTGAACGGAAGCCTCTCAGAGATTGCAACAAGCTGTCAGCGAGCAGACTCGCAAAAAACCCCCGTTGGCCTATCTTAAATGTCTCATTCAATGGGCTCTATCAACACACACACGCAGATGCATACACACAGTAATACCGCCATAAAGCCCACATGCAACACTGTTGCACGCGTGGAACGAGGCGCATGTCCCACAACCAATTTGTGCGCTTTTATACCCTGTACGCAGTCAAAGTTGTGTTGCAGGGTGTATTTAATATACATAAAGGTTTCTTCCAAGCTATATAAGAAAATGGCAGGAAATAGATTTGATATTTATATTAACAGAATATCGATGAGTTGCAATCGATAAGCCTTAATAAAGTTGTATTTATTAATATGTATCGTTAATCGGGAATTGTCATCGATAAGCTTTAAATTATAATTTACAAATGCTTTTCAATATTTAAAAAAAAATTGCATTGATCGATAATAATCGATTGCTATACCCATATTTATAAATAAACTTATTTATATTTATGCATAACTGACTTCAATACTTAATATAATGTTATATTTTGTTTTCTTCAGGTCTCGATAAATATCGATATTCAGCTGATTGCTTAAGTTTGTTTGCGTCTAGGATATCTCTAAGTCGTGCACTCTCGCCTAGTGCAATTTTATTCGCTTTGTTTTGGCTTTGTTGGTTTTTCGGTTCACGCTGATGTTTGTTTTGCGCCACGACAGGTGGCGCTTGGTTGGGCGTTAATAACTATAAACTGTTTGTCTAGCGCGTGTGTATGTGTGAGTGTGGTTGTGGTTGTCTTTCTCTGTGTGGGTGTGTGTGTGTGTGGACTGGACATTTGCGCTTCAATTATGCAAATTTTACGTGAGTTTTTCAATATGCGCCGCGGACTACGGACTTGGACATTGTTTTATGAAGTGCGTTGAATGACATAATATATACATATAAACAAGGCAATGGCGTATGTGTGTGTGTTCTGATTTAATTTTCCAGCGTATTACGCTCTGAGCGGATTTTACTACCCTGTACACCATGAACAAATGATTGAAAAGTTGGTACTGAAGTTAGGATTTGAGGACAGAATATTTGGCAAAGAATAACAAAAAATAATAATAATAATACTAAACAGAAATTCTCTTCTCAAATTAGAACTTGGCCATTCATTATCCAAAAATCATAGCATACTTTTTAGCTTGAGTTCATATGGCTTTTCTGATTTGCTTCCTAACTAAATTTTGATAAGGTATGTAGAATACATATTGTGTACAGATGATACTATTATATGGTAGATATCCACATGATCTTATTAATATTGCAGATAGTAATTGCAACAGGTTTTGCTTCTGCTCACCTTTACAGGGCATCTAGCCAGTCAGGCAGATGCAAGTCTCTGATTGCAACTTGTTTCTATGAATTCCGTTTAATGACTGCGACTCGAGGGGTCATTTCCATTTGCATAATGAGCGAGTTTTCGTGTCATTTTCTCACAAAAAGTAAAATTCAGATCCGAATGCATTTAAAAGTAAGTCGAGTGGCAATGAGATTTTAAAGCAACTTCTATAAGTCGCAAAGGGAATTTCAATTAATGCGAATCGATGCAATAAATTCAAATATTTATTGAATGAATATTTTATGATGAATATTTTATGACAGATTTCTGTATATCCGGGCTGTTTCGCAAACCAAATGTGAAGTCTCGTCCCTCGTCAACAGTTGTCAGTTGGCAATGAAAGCCGAAAATGGAAAATCGAATATCGCGGCAAGGTTTAAGGATTAAAGGGGATTGCGCATTTATTACATAATTGCTTTTATTTTTTATTTTTTGTATACATTAAAGTTTAATAATCAGATGGGATTGTACATTGAGATTAAATCGATGCCAAGAAATTTAACAATGCCTCTTTCTGGAACGAGCTTGGAATGAAGTCGGACTCTCACTATTACTAAATATGGAATTACTATTACTAAATATTAAAAGTCTTAAATGCTTATAAGTCTTTTTAATCCCTACTTAAGTCCCGATAACATTTTGAGTCTGGTCTTTAATATTTAAATTTAAAATTTAATTCTTTTTAAGGTCTCTAGCCAATCAGTTATCATTTTCTATTAGATAAGTTTGCCTATCATAAATAAATATATTTAAATATTTAAAATATTTAAAAGGCTTTTATAATTTCCTTTAGCTCTTTAGCTCCACATTAAATTGAAATTTTTTCACTTTTATTTTTTTGCAGCTGTAAATTTGTAAATCGTTCATGCACATTTGAAATGTGAATTAGGATATGAGCAGATGATTGATTGTTTCAAGTGGCAAGGACTTGTTGCCTGGCGGTTGGCATTTGGCATTTGGCATTTGGCCAGGTCGAATTAGGCCACATGGCTCGTAACTGTTTTAACCCCAGATGCAAAAGGAAAATAAAGGCGCCACTTGCAAACAGCAATCAGCCAAATGCATAAAATGCACATGAAATTTATAAAAAGGGAAATGGCTAAGAAATGGAGGACAAAGTCGAGATAGGGACCGAGGGCAAGCCTTAAGCGCTGGCCAGGACGGCCACCTGCACATTTATTGAGCAAAGTGCCCCGAGGATGTTGTCCGCCAGGACATTAGTTTTATGCGCTGATCAAGGACCAAGTCATACCCACAAGAAAGTGAAATCCAAGCCAAACCAGGCAAAGGGTGGCACCCACCCATCCCCCACAACCCCCACAAAGAAATACTATCTGAAAGAGTGTAAAACGAGCTTAAGAGCACTCCAGAGCTTTTCGCGCTCTTTTTTTGTTTGTCTGCTCTTAAGTTTCTATGGGAAAGCGCACACAGAGGCGGCTCGATTCATAGGGGTAGCTACCCTCAAACGTCTGGCTATGGACAAACCACTTTGAATTGGGCTTTAGAGTCGAACTCAAACGCTGTTATATGCATTTTTTTATATTTCCGATATGTTTTGAAGGCAAACATTTTAACTGTTTTGACAAAAATGAAACATTCTTAGAATTTTTATTAAGGGATGGTAATCCAACAGATATCTGATCACAAATTTATTTTAAATGTCAATATGTGAAAAAAGAATGAATCAAGCGAAGTAAGGTTTCAGATCTATATACATATATATATATGAATATATATATATTTATATATACGGTTCTGGATAAAAAATTCTTGGGCACTTGTCGACTATGAATATTACTATTTCAATATTAATCATGTATAAATATCTAAATTTCATATATTATATACTTATTATGGATCATTTACAAATATCTTTCAAAATTCAAAATTGGGAAAAAACTCTTTAAAGTATATATATTATATATATATATAATATATATATATATATATAGAGCTGAAAGAAGTTATCAAGAAAATCTTTTAGAGGATAGCATAATAGAAATAATTTGATTACAATATATAGGAACGTTTTTCACAATAAAAACCACCCTCAATTGTTGACTCATTAAATTGATATGCACAAATTCTCCAACTTTCACCACTGTGCAGCATAACAGGGTCAAACATAGTCGTCGTTGCCATGATAACAAGGAGGTTAGTTTTTGTATTAGTTTTTTTGTTTACGCCAAACAGTGTAGTTCAAGCAAAAGCTGTCAGGAGTAGAGAATACGGACTTGCGACATGAGTGTGGCCAGAAGAGGCGTTCCAATCACGGACCTGGACCAGAGCGAACAGGAGCCAGAGAAGGAGCACGAGCAGGTGCAGGAGCAGCTGAGGCCAGCGAGACAGCCAAAACGACAGCGCAAAGTGTTGCAAACGTTGACGGGCAATTTCAGTCGCAGATCACGCAGCGTCGAGGTGGAGCATCGCCACCCGGCAGACGTGAGCGGTAGCAGCGCCAAGAAGAAGCAGCAAAATCAGGAGCGTACTCTGAATGGACTGGTGAGTGCAGAGCAAGTCATGTAAAGAATCCAATTAACTCCCTTGACATATCCCTTGCAGCTACAGGCCAAGGAACAGCAACTGGAGCAGCTACTGCAGCGTCTGTCCACACTTCACAAATATAACGAGCAGTTCGCTAGGGAGAACGAGCAGCTGCGCGAGCAGAGCGAGCAGCTGGAACAGCGTCTGCGTCAGGCAGAGCAGCGCGTGGCCAGCTGCGAACGTTGTCAGCAGCTGCAACAGCAACAGAATCACCTGGTTAAACAGAACCAGGAGCTGGGCAACGATGTGGATATGCTGAAGACCTTGGTCTTCCGACTGAATGTACAAATCGAATGCTATCAGGATCAGCGGCGCACAGCGCAGGCAGAAGACGCACCTCTGGGCAACTCAGTCAACAGTTCCTCACTTCCTCCGTTTCCCGCTCAGCTAGCCAGGCATACCTTGACACCCTTGCTTCAGGCCTATGACGAGTCCTTGAGAGACAAGGATGCGCTGCTTAACCAATATGTAGCCGACTTCGAGCTGTTCTCCAACGAGTTGAAGCGGGCGCTGGAGGAGAATACGAAGTTGCTACAAACTCAGGAGCAGCTTCGTCGGGATGTGGGCGGCTGGCAAGAAGAACGCGTGCGTCTGCAAGCGCAGCTGAGCGTGTGCCGAAGCAAAGCCGAAACACAGACACGCAAAACAGATCTGGTTAAGGAGAAGTTGGTGGAGGTGATGCACTTCTATGAGCAACGCAATCAGACGTTGCTCCTGGACATGAATCATCTGCAGGATGCGTTTGCACGGTGCAAAGCGGAGCTAGTTTCCTTGAAGAGTCCAACTCCAGCTCCTGTGCCTGTGACTGTAGATGCAAATACAGCTGAGCTGCAGCAGTGTAAGGCTCTGCTCGAGCAGCTCAAGCAGGAGCATGCCAAGGAGCGCGCTTCACTTGAGGCAGAGCAGCAGGCGAGCAGTACGCGCGTTGCCGCTCTCCAACGCAGCTGTGAGAAGGCAAAGCATGCTAGGGACCGTCTCAAGGCTCGCCTGCGTATGACCCTCCAATGGGCACAGAAATTGGAGGCTGGTCAGGTGGAGCTGCGCGAGACCTATGATGCTGTGCAGCAGCTGTCGACGCTGCTAAAGCACAAGGAGTCACAACTGCGTGGCTTGCACCTGCGCAACACCGAGGAGCTGGACAAGCTGCGGTACAAGCTCCAGCAAAAAGATGAAACCATACGAAATCTGCTGCGCAGCAAGATGGAGAGGAGACCCGCCGTGGACTAGCCCGCAACTGCATCTAAAAGTATCTTGAGTTTAACAATTAAAAATATATAATTTCAATACAAAATACATTAATAACTTAAAGACTGTTGTTTTGAAAGCTTTCGAAGCACAGCTGTGAACGAGGACTTGATTGCCGCATCAGTCGAGCGTGTTGCAGTTGTTGGAATCGGTGACCAACGTTTCGCTATCATCGCCGCCGCCGCCGCCGTTGCCGCCGCTGGCACACATTACGCACGCCTTTGGCACCGTTTGCTCTATGTACATGTTAATCTTCTCGAGGACCTCGGGGCAAACGGCGTGCATTAGCTGTTCGTAGCGGGCGGGGCCCAATAGGGATTGCAAATGTTGCAGCTGCCATTTGAGGTATTCGGTTAGGGGTATCTTATAAACGGGATCCTTGAGCACCAGCTGGCGATGCCTGTCGTCGTGATAGGTCTTTGAATGGAAGTCATCGTATAACTGCGGCTGAAACTCCTCCAGCTCGTGCTCGTCGTGTATGACCAGAGAATCGTAATATCTCGGCGTCGCCTTGTCAGCGGCCTCATCTGCAGCGGCATATTGCTTGTCCATCACCTCGCCGAGCGTCTCCTCCACCAGCTGCAGGATGTGCGGGAAGCGCGCCAGCAGCAGCTCATTGTTCCCAAAAATCGAAGCGAACGCCAGACAAAACAGCTTCCTCTTCTCCGCATGCGTATCGGCTACGAGTGGAAACATCTCTATCCACACATCCAAGATGCGTGCCAGTGCGTCCGTCTGTGGCAACTCCTGCACCACAGACATAAACACCGCCTGATCGATCAGCAGGGTTCGTGCCAACAAAGTCAAATACCAGCTCATAGTCATTGGATATTCCTGCTTGAGACACACCTGCTGGAAGACAAAGGGCAAAGCGGGTCGCACCAGCCGCAAACCCATCGTCGCATCCGTCTTCAAGCACGTCTCAAAGATGCGCAACATGGCGATGATGCCCTCCGTACGTATATCTTCAAAGGAGCGCACACAATACGTCACAAAACCCTCGCCGTAGCGACTCAAATAGGCCTGCAAAGAGATTGTATATTAATTCGATATTTCATAAGTAGTCCATAAATTCTGATGTTACATGCGCGTCAAGCAATATGTATGCGTGTATTAGCTGAAGCACTGTGCGCAGATTCTCCGAGGACATCTCAATGATGGGCAGCAGATGATCGCAGAGCCGCAGCAGCTCGGGAGTCAACGCAGTCGAGTTGCCAATTACCGCCAGCCACAGCATGATCCCATCCTCTATGAGGTAGACGTGAGAGCGTTGCTAAACGTGAGAGTGAGAGAGACGGAAAAGATTATTCAATGCATATTTGGAGTTCTTGAACCGGTTCTAACTGTTCAAATCAGTTTTCAGATCTAGTTAATATAAGCAAAACAAATTCTATGTGAGAATGAGCAAACCGGTTTAGTAGGCGTTTAGTTTACAGTTATTTATGAGCATATTTATATATCTTACAGAACTAATTTCATTAAAATGATTGAAACATGTTGTCAAAATTAATAAGTAAATATAATTTGATACGTAAACGGTTTGATAATCCGAAATACTTAATATTTGTTTAAAATTAAATTTTTTATGAGACAACTTTTACTTTAAATTTAAAAAGAAAAGCAGTCACAATTCTGGTTGAGGATGACTTAATTTTTGGGTTCGAAAAAGCTTATAATCCGAACCGGTTTAAATTTTATAGTTCATCATTGAAGAGGCGTTTAAAGTATGGACCAGGATGCAATTTAAGATACTCAATTTAAATTTCATATCAAATAGATTCATAGATTCGTAATAGTAAAAACCCGGAGTTCATATTGTTGAACCGGTTCAACAGTGATGAATAATGATAAAAGTGTATTTAATATTAATGTAACGTTTAAGCTTTTACCTGTAAATCAGTGCTCAGCTCAATGACGCTGTAGAGGAACGGCTTCATGCTCTCGGGGACATCGCGAATGGTTCGCACGAGCTGCTCCAGAGTGCCAATGATGGCGCATCTGAGCATATTATACTCGTGCTCCTCGCTCTCGCGCCACAGCAGAGGCAAATAGGCAATAAATTGCAAGGCCTGCGGCTCAATGTATTCACTCATTTTCTCCACGAGCAGCGTCATAGTACCCAGGACAACGATCTTCGTATCGCAGGCGGCAGCTTCGCGTAACAGAAGGAAAAGTGCCTCGAACAAGGCAGCGAAATATGGATGAAAGGCCTCGGGCATAAATTCAAAGTCATCGATAAGCAGATTCAAGGTGCGAGCGGCTGCCAAGCGTATGGGCATATCCTCCTCCGGGCGCAACAGATGCAGACACGCCTCATAGGCCAGCGGACGTAGCTCGCGTGGCAGCTGAACGCCGACCCAATTACCCACAAGCCAAATGATGCGACGACGCAGGATGCGAAAGTTCGAGGCCTCGATGCGCAGTTCGGCGAGCAGCTGCGAGGTCAGCCACGAGCCAAAGTCGAGTTTGTTAAAAAAGTGAAATGATGCCTGGCCGACAGCATTGTAAATGGCATCCTTTAACAATATGGGCTTCAGTTCAGAGTCCTGCGTCAGCTGCAGCTGCTGGGCGCGACGCACAAACTTCAAGACTTCGTTGATCATGACATTCGAGTGTTGGGTAAAGCAGGTGAAGTACAATGATTCAACACAGGGACGCAGTTCATATTTCCAGGCATCGCCGCCACCATCGTCGTGGCCATAGCTCTCCGGATCCTGCTGCCATTCAGCCAGCTCCTCGGGCGTTAGCAGAAAATAATGTGTGACAATTTTCTCACACAAATATGTGACACGTTCGACACTAAAAAATTTGCTCTGCGTTTGCGCCGCTGTCGCCAGCAGCTCATCCTCCAGAGTATTCGCCGTTTGATCCTGCGTAATGGTATCATTGCCGCTCATCATGATGCACTTCAACATATTTATGGCCTGTATGACAAAGTTGCTGAAATTAATGCGTTCTCCTGCATCGAAGATGAGGGCGGTGCCTTCGTGGAACACATAATGAAAGCTAAACTCCAATGCCACAGGCACGAATCGAGCAAAGGACAACGAGTACTTGTCCATGAACTCATTCAGTGTCTTCATCATCTTCAATATGAAACGTTCTAGGTCATTAATTAGCTGCTGATTGTCCGTTGAACGCAATCGCAATTCGTACCGCAGTTCAAGGCACTGTCGCAGTCGCTCAAAAAGCTGCTCTATGAAATTCATATGATCGCTGGACTTATAGGGCTTGCTTCCACAGCCGTAGATGAGCAACTTCCTTAGCGAACGCATGGCTATATAAGCACGTTGCAGGCAACTATGGGCCGCTGGGTCTGTCTTCTGCAGCTGTAAAAATCGCGTAGTCAACGTTGCCCAAATATTCCAAGCCATATAGCTAAAGATTTGCGCCGAGAGCTCCTCAAAGGCACGTTTCTCGGCCATCAGGCGACGTGATGCCAGTGCCTTGATCACGTAGTGGAGAACAAGCAGCGTCCGCTGCTGCTGCGCAGGTGATTCACTGCACGCTTGCAACTGTTTCATTAGCGTGGGTAAGAGCTCGGGCCAACAATCAATGCGTGCAATTTTACTGAGTAGAACGGCCACCTGCAACGCCACTTGGGGCACATCTTCAGCATTGTAATGCTGCAGCAATATTTCACGTATTTGCTGTTTCTGCTCCTGGGCCAGCTCCTGGCGAGAATTGTGACGCCAGTAGCGTTCAATGCCATTCTTCAAATAGACAGCTGCCATCCATCGAATTTTTACTGAATCGCTTAGCGTTGCAGCTACAGCAGCAGCGGAGGCAGCAGAAGCTGCTGCATCGCTGTCATCTTGCAGCTTCATGCTGAGACGCGCCAATATAGGAAAGAAGCCTGGCTGTTGCTCCCATTCGGCGAGCTGTGCTTCAGCTTTTTGCACAATTTCGTGATTGGGATTGGCAGCACCCTGTAAGGCGGCTGCAACAAACTGCTCCGCAGTGGCCATGGCACAATCGTACACACACACACACACCGAGAGTACAGTGGACAGTGGACAGACGAGTTGGAGGCCACCAAAAATTGGTGTACAAACTTGTCTGATACACTTTTGCAGCAAACTTTGTGAAAATTATTGACGAAAAATTACATCGCCATTCCGGCTGAGGCGCTATTCAATTAGTGATGTTCAATCAAATATATCGATTGCTTGCGATTAATTGTGCGCGGGTCTGCAACATGCAATGGCTGCGTGTGCAGCGTACCAGATCTGAGAAGTCAAGATATATGAAGAGAACTATTTTATTTCTTCCTTGTTTTCAAATCTTTTTATACATATATTTTATGTACATAACTATAAAATTATATTTGACTAAATACGCTAAATATCAAAAAAGTTGATTAGGGCATATATCTTTGATATTTCGCTGTATTGTATATATAATATATATTGATTTATGTGACATAGAGTTGTTTGTTTTAAAATTCGTTGACATATTTTTGTGACTTTAATAATCATACGATACATTTTAGTATTCTTGTATTCCGGTAATACTTAACTATACCATATTTTTATTATAAACAAAGAGTAAATGTTTTTATATGTATTTGTATATATATTTATATATATTGTATGCACATCAATATGAGCGTTTTTGCCAGCAACAGCATACCATTTAGTGTGACTATCGACACAGTCAACAGTTTACAGCATGAAATGTAACTATCGTCTGAAAGCCAATGCAGCTGGCAACGCAACGCACACAACAGCTGACTGTGTGTTGGCAACGCGATGTCGATACCTTATGTATTGACAACGTAAACACAATTTGATATCAGTTATATTAATAGATAAGAGAATTCTTTGAACAAGAAAATTTTAATCATTAGCTGCCCAATTACTTAACCTTAAACATGTTGAAGGCCATAATATTGATTGGCGGCCCCCAAAAGGGCACCCGGTTCCGCCCACTGTCGCTGGATACGCCCAAGCCACTTTTCCCGGTCGCCGGACGCCCTTTGATTGCTCATCATATCGAAGCCTGTGTGCAGGTGAAGGAGCTGCGTGAGATCCTCATTATTGGCTTTTACCCACAAACGCAAATGGAAGGCTTTGTCAGCGACATGCAGGCGCTCTACAGCAGCAGCAACATTAACATCAGGTGAGCCACATCTTCATATACCCTGTAGTCGCTAACTTACTTTCTTATTTACTCTTACTGCACGTATCAAGGTATAGAGTTATTTGACGTTTGCTAGGTAAAGATTATATTATATATGTATATACACCTTTTCTGCGATAATACTGTTAAAAATAGCCTGTAACACTTAGAAAAGTACGATTTTGTAGGTCATGTGCAGGGTCCTACCATAGGATGTGATAAATATTTTATAATGTGCTATTCTGTGCATACCTAAATTCGATAAATATCGATTCATTTTCCATGTTTATTTCAATATATCAAAGCCAATAGATGAGCTTAAATACAGTACAGTCCATATTTATATGCCTTGTTTGTAGCTTATTAGCATACTTTTTTAATTTCGATAAATATCGATTGCATCCTGTCCACGGCAAGCAAGCTATCAGACAGAAATGCTCAAGCAATATAAGCTAGGGTATATATTGCATAAGATAAGCCCTTGATTGATTCCAGAAAAGCTATATTCATGAAACTAGAAACAATCTTAGTTTGATACCAAGTACCCTGATATAGGGTATCTGTCCAGCACGTACACCTTACCTAATTTAAAAGCTGACGTGTTCTATGTATGTTTTGTTGCAGGTATCTGCAGGAGTTCACCTCGTTGGGCACGGCTGGTGGCATGTATCACTTCCGCGATCAGATACGGGCTGGCAATCCGCGCGCGTTTTTCGTGCTCAACGGCGATGTCTGTGCGGACTTTCCGCTGCAGGAGCTGTACAGCTTCCACGTGGAGAGGCCCGCGAGCGCCTTGGTGACGATCATGAGCACGGAGGCGACGCGTCAGCAATCGCTCCACTATGGCTGCCTCGTCTTCGATCGTGCAAGTGGTGCCGTGTCGCATTATGTTGAGAAGCCCAGCTCGTATGTCTCCACGTACATTAATTGCGGCGTCTATGTCTGTTCCATGGACATCTTTACGAAGCTCGCGCAGATCTTTCACGCGAAGGGTGAGGAGTACGGCTGCATCAGCTACAGCAATGGCAACGGCAACGGCAATGGCAACGGCAAGGATCAGGGTCACATTAAGTGGGAGCAAGAGGTGCTCACTCCTCTAGCCGGCACCGACATGCTCTTCGCCATGCCTGTGCCCAATTGGTGGTCACAGCTGAAGACCGCCGGATCGGCCATCTATGCCAATCGGCATTATCTCGATCTCTATAAGCGCACCCATCCCGAGCGTTTGGCCAATGTGGGCAACAAGCGGGGTGAGGGCGATGGCAATCTGATATGCACCGTCTATCCAGATGTCTACGTGCATCCTAGTGCTACGGTCCATCACTCGGCTGTGGTGAGTATCCTCTGAATATATTGTACAAGTTAAGAAATGGGTATATGGACATGGCAATGAATCCCTATTGTCGATCATTCATTTCAGATAACTGTTACTGAGTAACATAGTTGTTATGTGTAGCTAAATAACCTGTAAATAGATACCCTGACCCAGGGAATATACACAGTTAAAGGAAAGTTAATCGCTAACTAAATCCATTTGAGGGATATTTTTTTGTCAGCTCAATCTGAAAGCTCACATTATCAGAATCATAGTTCATGTTTCTAACATTGATCAAATGCTCTAACTAATTGAGACTATATGGTTATGATGCGCTCTCAAAACTGAGGCGTGTTATAATTACTATAGTTATTTTAGTCTTGGTTTTTCGTAGCTCTCAATTTTATATTATATTATCTACAGAGATAACATATCGAATATATGTATCATATCAAATTCATGTCATATGATCGATAAAATAAATTTTCATGACATTAATACAGAGTTTTTAAAAGCTTAGAATGCAGTTCGATAATTTGTATTTACATAAAGAAAAATATTTATAAAGATTCGTAATTGCTTAAGCTTCAATCTTAACATTTTTTCAGCTTGGTCCCAATGTGGCCATAGGTCCGGGCGTTACGATCGGTCCTGGTGTTCGCATACGCGAGTCCATTGTGCTGGAGCAGGCGCAGATCAAGGATCACACGCTCATCCTCCATTCGATTGTGGGGCGTGGCTGCAGCATTGGCGCCTGGACCAGAGTCGAGGGCACGCCCAGCGACCCGGATCCAAACAAGCCATTTGCCAAAATGGAAAATCCGCCATTGTTCAACAATGAGGGCAAACTGAATCCATCGATAACTATATTGGGTTTGTTTTTCGAATTTCACGAATTTCAATGCATAAAATACTCACACCTGTCTCCCTGCTCCTTAGGCTGCTTTGTGCAAATACCCGCCGAGAAGATTCTGCTGAACAGCATTGTCCTGCCGCACAAGGAGCTCAGTCGAAGCTTCAAGAACGAAATTATTTTGTGAAAAGCCGTTGGATGCCCTCGCGATCCCGTTTCTTCTTTATTTATATAATCATGTATTTTATATATTAAATATGATCAGTGTGCTAATCGATATTTGTATTGTGCAATAATCCTTAAAAAATCGTGCTTTGGCCAGTTCAGTAATTATTTTATACGTATTTTTTGGCAACAACTTTACGATATTGGCGTTTGTTTTAGCCAGTGCTGCATAATGATTTAATAAAACTGTTTTATATTCTATGAATACAGGAAAATTGTTTTACTTTATTTGCTTATTTGTTAATTCAAACTGATTGCATATGATATTCAAGCTGATTTTGTGTTGAAACATGATACGAATACGATATTCGATACTCAATCAGATTAAACACAGCTTGAAGCATTTGTAGTTTATATTCTGTCAAGAGTACAGTGAAAGCTCTGTGAGTGAACAATCTAGTTTGAGCAAGATATATATCCATTTAATGGATTAACGCTCATTTTAAATTTATTATTGTTTTAGTTCACTTATTATTATAAATAAAATATCCGTTATTTTATCCTTTGTTTAATATGAAAAATATTATTTTTACATAGCTATATATTTAATGTGCTACTAATTATTGTTTACGATACTCATGCTAACTTCGATCTTTCAAGCGTCGCTACGAGCTGCATGTCATGCAGCAGCATTAGTGTTGCATGACATGCGCTGGCGCCCAGGTAGGCAGCCCACTCAAAAGCAAACACACTAAAGCACATTTACTTTGCGCTCTCTCGATCTCTCTTTCTCCCGCTCTCCGCCTCTCTTTCTGTGTCTTTAGTTGACTCTCTCACCCGTTGCCTTTCGACCAAAACGCGTTTACGTTCCGCGCTTTTGTCAGTCTGTCGCCGTCGCTTGTTGCTGTAAGAAGGAAAGAGTGAGAGAGGAAAAGAGAGTAGTGCGCATTCCATCTCCATAAACGTTAAAATTCGATAAGCAAATACATTCGATAGGTGTTTTCAATATGTAATTAACAAATGTCAAATTGTGAACAAAAGCAAATGCATTGCAAATACAAATACTAAGAACATGGCTGGCCTGGAATTGGAATTTACCGCTTGAAAAACACAAACAGGTACGTGGGCAGTTCTGTTGGTAATTGAGCAAGCTAAAGAAGAAGAAGAAGTAGCAACAGCAACACACACACACTCACGCAATGCTGCTGCACAGGTGTGTACGCGCGGGGGCTGCGCGAGTGGCTACTCGCAGGTAAGTTTCAGAGCGCAACCTGTGAGAGCGTAAGCAAAGTGAGAGAGCGAGAGAGCGCGCGTCATGGCTGAGCGAGCGTAACTGTCTTTTCGTGTGTGTGCGTGACGTTGTGTGCGCAGCGTGGGAAAACTGCAATAAGCCTGAGAGGGGAACGGGCGATCCCTTCTCAAACTGTTGCTGACTACGCCGCTGCCTATTGTCTATATGTATATATGTGTGTATGTCGCCTAACTGTTGTTGTTGCTGAAAGCTGAGTTTTTTTTCTTTCGATCTCTGCATTCATTCATGGGTTTCATGGCAGCTTTGTGATTGCTTTGTGTTTGCATACCACAAGGCTGAAGCCGCGCTGCCAACTATTTGTGGAGACACTCCATTGGCAAGTCTAGTCAGCTTGTCTATATAAATGATTGTTATTGTTGTTGTGCGTTTGCGTGTTGGAATCTTGTTTGGCATCAGCCACCAGCTAAGTGGCCCATACACCTGAGCTATGCCATCGACATTCTCTCTATCTCTCTCACTCAGTGTCTTTTGCTCGCTCACTGTTTATTACCGCTCTCAGCAAAGGTTTACACACATTTATACATGCACACCTGCAGGCAAGCGCAGCTCACTTACCTTCGTGGTTGCTTGTGGCCCACGAAGTTGATCAGTTGCTGTTTTAACCTGGAGACAGACGCACGCGGCCGTCGCTAAAGCAGCAAGAGAAAAGACAACTTAATACACTCACACATACTCGAACACACACAGACACGTACACCTTTTAGTCCAAAACTAGAAAGAAAACAAAAACAACAGTTAAAAAAATAATATAAAGACACACAAAGTGGTAGAAGAAGCAGCCGCAGCAAAGAAGGCGAAAAAAGTGACTTGTTTTTTGTTTGCATGTATTGCGCCGACGTTAACGTTGACGTTGACGCTGGCGTCAGCGTCGCTGTCCGTTTTGTACGTGTTGGTATTAAGATCGGCAGCGCCGTGTGTGGAAAGGCAAAACGGACAACGCACACACACGCTCACACACACAAATACACACATACAAAACTAACTGCTAGTCAGTGTGACTAGCAAAAGAAGCAGCTGAAGTACACAGAAGAAGGGCTTACATACGTAGATACGTACATGCGTACATGCATATGTACATAAATACATACATACATATGTACATATATGCTTACGTACAAAATTGTTTGTCTGAATGTGTGTGAAAAAGAAAGTGCAATAATAATAATAAAAAAGAGTGGTGAAAAGCATTCAACAACAATAAAAACAACAAGTGCAATGTAAAGCAAAAAAAGAAAAAGAAAATCGAAAAAAAAAAACAGTTCAATAAGCAGAAGGATCAACCTGTTGCTCAAGCCAACGAATAACTGTGCACAAAAGCTTTAAGTGCTGGCATTTCCCATTGGCTGCTGTAAGTTGTAAAACTATTTGACAAATTTGTGACACACATAAGTATGCCTATCGACATACATGTATGTGTGTGGCCAGTGTGAATGAACGAGCGTATGAGCTACAACAACAGCAAGCAGCAACAAAATGCAGAAGAAGCAGCAACAGCAAAAGAGCAGCTCAAAGACACGATACACGCTAAAAGCAGATGCGCAAACATAACAAAGTGAAAACATATTTACAGTTACACAGACAAGAAATAATAAAAGAGCGCAGCGGCGCGTCGCTGCTGCTCAAACGTTACAAAGCTTCCAAAGTAAACTGCTGCTGCGCTTTGAGAGATTTCTTGTTGCTGTTGTTGGTGCTGTTTTTGTTGTTGGTTTTGCTTCTGCTTCTGCTTTGAGCTCTTGTGCATTTTTTTGTGTTAACTCTTTGACATGCGCGCTTGCACACACATACAAATACACATATACAGAATCACAACAACGGCAACCACAACAATTGCTGCTGCACTTGTTGCTGCTGCGAGTGTGAGGCAGTGGTTGCGAGAGAGATGGAGAGAGAATTAGAGAGGGCGAGGTAGAGATAGAGACGGCGCAGCATAACTTTGGCAATTGGCATTTCGCTCGCATGCAATTTTGTGCGCAATCATAAGTTTCCTGTTGGCAAACAAAAAATAACGGCACACGCCAATTCCCGTTCCAATTCCAAATCAAATTCCATTGTCCATTCCAGCCATTTTGCCTGGAACAATGCGAACGCTTGCGTAATTCATGCAACTAATAGATTGAAATAAGAGCAAAAAGAATACTCTTGATATATATATTTAAATATATATGAATTGACTGACTGCCAAATGCTTAGATTCGTTGGCTTATAGCTTAAAAAAAGCTTTTCGTCTTAATTTATTATTTTTTCTTCAATTAATTAATGTTTTAAGGTGCCTTATAAATGTAAATATATTATATATGTAGGCAGATCCTCAAGTATTCAGAAAAAGTTATGCTAGAAAAAGCTCTTCTGATGATATATGTATATTTATAAAACGTATATTCTATTTAAGCTTTTCATATTTTCGAAATACAGACTAGAGCTGTGGAAAGCAAGTTCCTTTGAAGGAGGGGTTCCTGGTTCTCATCGATTCCATGTCTCGCAACTGGCAAGGCATAACAAGAAAAAAATCGAACTTATAACTTGATATTAATATACAGAAAAACAAATTTTGAAGTTGGACTAATCTTAAATAGCTTTCTTAACATTTTTTAGTATTACCACTACTATTTGTATGAACAACTAAATTTAGTTAATTTTTATTTCTTAAACTCCAAATTGTATAAAACCACATCTTAATTAATAGAAAAATATATTAATCTTAATATTCGTTTCAAATTGGTTTCAAAACTTGTGTTTATCAGTAAATCCAATATTTAGAACTCTGTCGCACTACTATTTTCATGAACACGACTTTATATTAGAATTAGAAATGTGAGCGACAAAATACTTAAATATAAATAGATTAGATTTTTATTAAAATAAGTCATATAGTTCTCTATATATGTAGAACCCTTCATGTATTTCATAAAGACTTATTTCTGTGACTTTTCGCAATGAAATCCTGAAAAGCACAAAACAAACGGAGTTTCCACAATTTCCTGTTACCAAATACTTGCTCAACTAGAAGATACTGCATACTTGTAGCTAATGCACATTGTATACAGGGTATGTGCAAAATGCAATTCCGATCAATCTGACTGGATTACACACTTATTAAGTGCAGTGCTGCTGCTGTTGTGGCTCATGTTGCTGCAGTTATTTATCACTAATTTATACCAGCGATATAATTTGGTATTCATTGTCTTTTCGAAATAACCGTAACATTGCTGTTCAATGCTGTTGTTTCTTTTTAATGAAGATTTCTTTGCTGCTGTTGCCTCTGTTGCTTTCTTCCCGTTCTAATTAGCCGCCATCTCAAGCAACGACCCGTTATTCATTAATGAGCAACTCGACGGAAAATAAGATTTATTGTCTATGATTTTTTTATGTTTTTCGTTTGTCACGGCGCGACGCGTCGTCACCTCGAAAAAACCGCTTTTCCATACGTTCCAGTGAAAACTTCGCAACTGGACCTAGGCCTTGGCTTTCGGTCAGGCCTCAGTGAGTCTTCAAGTGTGAAACGAAAGGGAAATTCATCCACAGCAATAGCAACAACAAGTTTATGAAGTGTTACGATCTCTGAACATAAAACTAATTAAATACACATGCGTGACATTCGCTGTTAATATTCTGTCAATTATTTTTACATCAAAATCAAATCAAGTCATCAACTCAAATATTGCTCATAAACATTTAGTTGCATTCCTTCAATAAGCTAGCAATTTATGAAGCCATAAATTCAAACTGAAAAAACAATAGAACAAACTGTTACAAATGATTCGAGTGCCGTTTACACAAATTTGCTTTAGTTAAAAGTGAGCTTAAAGTCTATTCAATACGTAATTTATTGAGTGGAAAATGACACGCAACAGTTATTAGCTCGAACAGTGCTCGAAGAGCACAGAATTATCTAAAAACATATATGTTGTTGGAAGATACGTAAATGTTAACTTGGAAATGTTAATTATGAAAATCGTAATATTGAAATGTTCAGAATGGAATGTTAGTACGCAAATGTTAAGTGTGATGGAAATCTTAATTTGAACATATTTATATTGGAATATGAAATATTCAAATGATCAAGGATTTGAATGTGATACGCAGATTATGATACGAATGCAAGCAATAGACTGTTGTTTGGAATCACAAAGAAGAGGAGTTTCTAATTGAATAACAAATACTTCAAATATTCATGTTTTGCTTACTTTCGATTTTGATATAATCTCCAATAGGAAAAAATAGAGAAGTTAGTTTTTAAAAATAGAATACAATTATTAAGCGAAACATCCAAATTACGTTTTGAGAGATACAAATATCTATTGAAATAAATGCTTAACAGACTATCTTTTAGATAACAGATCAAATGCTGTTAAGTTTAACAGAAAACTGTAAGATTCTAAGTATTTGTACAGAAAACGATTATATTAACGTTAACATTTGCCATTTATGAATAAATTGGAACTTTTTCCGTATTCACATGCCAGAGATCAGCAGATCTGTAATATTTGTTTTCCTGTTCAGTGAAACACATAGAAAAACGTTCCTTTCTTATGGAATGCAGTGGAACAGAGAATTTTCTTGCCTGGGAATATTAAAATTCACACACTCAGTGGACAGAGCCGCATAACGGCAAAAACTAACCAGATACCGATGGATGGAAGAACCTTCCAAGTGTCAAGGGGGCAAACAGTATCCTTGACTAGACCAATTATGGCTGGAGTACCACAGGGTAGTGTTCTAGGCCCAACACTTTATACTTTATTCACAGGAGATATGCCAACTCCCGAGCCAAATATAGGAAGTACAGATGCAGTACTCATAGCGACCTATGCAGATGACACCGCCATCTTATCACGTCACGTATCTGCGCAAGAAGCTTCAGACTCACTACAAAAATATCTGGACTCTTTCGGACGCTGGGCAAAACGGTGGTGTATCACCATTAATGCACAAAAGTCTGTACATACTACCTTCGCCACTAGAAGAGGAGATTGCCCAAGCGTTGCATTGGGGCCCACTATTCCCAAAGCCTCAAAAGTAAAGTACCTTGGTATCACTCTTGACAGAAGGCTGACTTTTAAAGCGCACATAAGTCAAGTAACCTCAAAATGCAAAAGCAAGCTAAAAACCCTCGACTGGATGCTGAGAGCTTCAAGCAAGTTGTCTTACAGCAGCAAGGCCGCCATCTACAAGGCAATAGTTGTCCCAACCTTCGTATATGGTATCTCTCTATGGGGCTCCTCGGCGAAGACTACAAGGAACAAAATTCAGACCCTGCAGAATAAAGCACTACGCAGATGGACTGGAGCCAGCTGGTTTGTAAGAAACTCAGTCTTACATAGGGATTTAGCAATTCCCACAGTTGCTGAACTCATTGGGCGACACAGTTCAAGATACGCGGACAGACTTGCAGCGCATCCTAACCATCTCGCAAGCAACCTGGCTATAAACAACAATAGGCGAAGACTGAAGAGATTGCATCCTCTAGACAATATTAGAACTAATTAAGATAGTAGCTACAAGTGCAGAATAATTGGCATATCTGCCCTCCCATTAGTTAAGGTTTAGAGCTAAATGCGCTATAGAGTCTAAGACAATAAGCTGCAACAAAATAAAGAAATAAAAACGAAAAAAAAAAAAAAAAAAAAAAAAAAAAAAAAAAAAGATACCGATGGATATATACCTATAAAAAGAGAAAGAGAGAGGGAGCGGAAGAATGCGAAAGCTTAACATAAATTGCAATCGTCTTCAAAGAGCACGCACACAAAATACTCATTAAAATATAACTTTGACCATTTCCCCAGCACTCGAAGCGGAAACTTGCAGCAAAAAAGGCAGAAGTTGTTGTTGCTTATGTTTCTTTTTATTATATATTTTGTATTTAAATAAGAAAAAGTTATTAACTGCAAAGACGCAGAAACATGCATAAAACAAAACGAAAATACTAAAAGAAGAAGAAAAAATTAAAAAAAAGCATTTCAGAGTGAAGAAACTGTCGCAAACTGTGTTTTAAATCGGATTTGCTTGTCTTAATTACAAAAGCTTGGACGTTGTTTTGAATACCCTGTACACATGCGTGTCATGGGTGTAATGCATTTGTGTATGACGTATGTAACAGTAGTCTGAAGGAGGCATATATCGCAATGCCTTCCTGATTAAGTTTGATTAGAGCATATAAGACTCCTTTTATTCCTTCACTAATTTTAGGAAAGCTCTGTTTTGCCTCATTACACAGCTTGGCCCAGATTTATGGAATGACAATTTTAGTTAGATCAGACAAAAAAGATTCAGGGTATTTCCTGTTTGTGCACTCCCAACAGAGGTGTTCCTTCTTGCCTTGTTGTTTTCATTTTAATTACAGTAAAAAATCATCTTAAATGCGATTGCAAAAGCTTGCGCTCTGAGTCTCTGTGCGCCTGTGCACCTCGATTAACCCACGACCTTTGCCTCTGTGTTAGCTCTTAATGACTGAACATCAACAGTCACTCAGTCAGTCAGTCAGTCAGTCAGTCAATCAGTCGAGCTCTGCTTGATGCTGCTTTGTGTTTGCTGTTTTTCATTAAAAGTAAAACTTTTCACATTAAAAATGCCCATAAAATTGCACTTTAATTTTTGCTGTTGGTGTTTTTTTTTTCGTTTGTGTTCGTTGTCGTCAACGTTTCCACATTCGCCTTTTGCTCGACTTTGTCCAATCCACTTGTCTGGGCTCCACGCTCAGGCTTGACTGACTGCTTGGCAACCGAATGGAGCACAAAATTAAATTTCAAATCGTTGTGCAGGTTAATAATTTCAATTTGACCTCTTTGCTCACGCTCTTTGCGACAATTTTTAGTGACTTCGTTCGTTAGACGTCGTTTTAGACGTTTGATTGTCACTTTCAAATGTTTTACTGAAAATTGGCAACGTTGCTTGGCTCAACAGCCAACAGTGCTTAGCTTATGTAAATTGTGTAAATATCTGTAAAGGCACTTAAGTTCATAATGCAAGGCGAAAACAGGCAACAGTGCTTAGCTAATTTAAGTGTCTCTTAAAGCACTGAGAATTGGCAACGTCGCTTAAGTTAATGCATGATAAATGTAGGCAAATCTAAAAAGGCTCTTAAGTTTGGCAACGTCGCTCTGATAACTGAGCTGAAAACTGGCAACGCAGCACTTGTGTGAAATCTGGCAACAATGCTCAGCTTACGCAAATGTCAACCAAATCTGATGAGGCACTTCACTTATATTTATTAACTTAAAATTTGGCAACGTCGCACTGTCTAATTAGAAACCTGTCTTGAAAATTGGCAACGTCGCTTGTGCGAATTTCCAATTGGCACCCATTCGGATTACATTTGCTGCCAATTCGCATTGCCTGGCATTTTCTTTGAATTGCATACGTAATTAGCTTTTCGATTTGCCAGCTGTCAAGGGTTCAAAATATTGTATAAGCAGCGACTCACCTTTAAACCCTTTTGCGCCTCACTCATCCATTGTATTTATTTCCCGATCGACTTTTTTTTCTCTGTTTTCCAGCCATAACCAATGGGTATCTGAGCAGAGAATGCAGTGCCATCAGCCACGCAACGACAGCAATTGCAATTGATAGCAAATAGAAAGCAAACTGAAGTTCACTTGGGGAGCGAGCAACCTCATCATTTCCTTTATATGCGAGGCATCAAAGTCAGAGACAATCTCGGCAACAACAGCTACAATAATAACAACAACAAAAGCAACGACAACAACAACAACATGCAGGTGCCCGAGCACGTTGTCTCCCTTTACATAGCCACATGTGGCCAAAATGGACCCGGCCTTGGCTCGGATGAGAAGGAAATTATACTGATGGTCTATGTGCTGTTGGAAGTGGCAACGGGACAGGTGAGTTAATAAGTCAACACACCTGTTGACGCCATTCTCTAAGCCCTTCAACTTTGCTGGGCGACCGCACAAGCTTCAGCAGCGAGCGGGGTTGGGGCCAAGCGCTAAGCGCCGCCTACTGAGCGACGCCATTTTGTGAAGCGTGTGCGCTGTCGGCACTTAATTAATGAATACACACACTTACAAACACACAACAATACGAATATTTATGAACACACACACATGCAACAATACATTGTTGTTGTATAAGCTGCACTTTCAACTGTGCGCGTTGATTATGTTACAACAACAACAGCAGCGACAACTCGACTTTGATTCGTTTAAAAGCAACAAGTACTTAGTGAGCTCAACTGCGCAAATATAGACTCGAACATACCCTGTACAGCTTATATACAAGTTGCTTACTTTGGAAGACTTTCAGCTCTAGTTAGAACTGTTGAAGAGAGAAGAAATCTTATATAAAGTCGAACATATAAATTCGTTCATCTGATCGGAAGCATAGTTTTCTTATTGTATTTATCTCAAAATATCTTGATCTATTGAAAATTAGATCGAAGCTGTCAGAAAGAAAACCTCTATCTTTATCTTAGTTATTCTTAGTAATTATAAATAAAATGATAAATTATCCAAGCCATATAAGGAATTTAGCTGTCTTATAACTACACAGATATTGAGCATTTGGTAAAGTTATCCAACTTGGAGAACTTTTGGCTCTGAGTTCTTTTTCTTTCTACTTTTATCAAAAGGAAAGTCACTCACTTCAGATATTCCATTCTAACTATCTGCTGTACAGCTACAGGGTATTCAATTGATATGAGTGCTGAGCCTGTTGATTGCTGCCATTTGCTGGAGCTAGGGAACATGCCATTGGTCTTTTCAATATAATCAACTACAATTTTGAGCTGTCAGTCAGAGATGGTAGGCGGAGGGGGGAGGTGTGTAGCCCCTATCCGGCAACTATATAAATATAAGTATAGCCCATAGTCGGCCGTATTTGCATATTTTGAGTTTGCCAAGCGATTGACACTAATTGTTTGAAAATCGCTAAAACGACGCATCGTCGAAGCTATGTGTATGGTGCCTATTGCGAAATCCCTACAAATAGTCTCGAATATATATTATATACAAAGATATATATAGACTTGCATTATGACTCTGGCATGCAACAGGCGTATTTACCTTTCTAAGAGCCACCAATTTTCCAAGTAATACTCAGGTTTTTAATTTATCTTATGTATTGAGAGTTTACAAATAGCTTAAGCAGCTAAGTTTTGCTATTTATGGTTTTATAATTATATATATTGATGGATATTCAAATCTGCTCCTTTCATTATGCAAATTTCAAGTGAAAAATAATTTAACCAAATTTTGCTTAGCGAAACCTTAGAAATTTTAGAAAAATTCCCAGCTATATTAATTTTATATTTTCTTATTCTTATTATTTATGTATTTCAGTCAAGTCTTTAAGTAATATTAAAATGTGAATAATTTAGCTTGTGATACATAAAATATTATAAAGGAAGGTTTTTAAAATGTCTTAGAGCTCAATTTAGTTATTTTTCTTTAGGAAAATGGTTTAACAAAGGACTCGATTTGATAAACATTAAATTTTTGAGGTTTGCATAACTCTTAAGAAAATCTTTATTTTTTTAAGCAATTTTCATAATTGTGCCTTTTCAAGTATTTCCTATGTTCATAATGGCTTTTCCCATTGCAGAATAATTTTTTTGTATTTCATATTTTCCAAGTCAGTTCATAATTGAACGAAAAGTATTTTGTAATTCAAATGTTTGTATTTTAGATGACACAATATTTGATTTTCATTTTCCACTGGAGACTTTCCACAGTTTTATAGTTTTCTTTTTTATTTTTCCCTTTTTTTGTTTTTTGATTTTTTCATCATTTTTATTTGCATGCATAACAAAAAGCGAGTCTTGGGCCAGCGTCTGGTCAATAATTTCCATATACGCAATATTATTTGCAAAATGCTTGACAGCACGTTACGTAGCTAGCCACCACAGCCGCCCCTCCTTGCAATCCAATTGCTCTTAGGGTATACAGTGAGCTGCGTGTTTGGCAACAAAATGGCTTGACAATTTATAAATATATATATCTCTATATATGTATGTGTATGTGTGTCTGGCTGGGTCTGTGTTTACTAGCATTTAACTGATGCTTGTCTGCCTCGCCATAGGCTTTACGTCTAGATCCGTCAGTCTAAAACTTTTGTTTTTTTACGACTTGAACACGCAATACATTTCTGTAAGTGCATCTCATTTTTTCTCTTTTTTCCGATTCGGATGACATTAAGTGCTTTTTAATGGCAGTGCCGTTTGAGAGATGTTTTAAACGTCTCGGAATTATCTATGGATAGGGTTAGTACCAGGGTCTTTATTTCAGGGGTCTCATTATTAGCCACGCTTTTGGCCAAATTATGATTAATTTTCTAAATGCTGTCGTAGTAGTCGCCAGGCAAAACGAATTCAAATTCGAATTTATATGTGTATATATACATGTATTTACATATATCTACGTTTATACTTTCGCAAGTCGCAAAACTCGGTTCGGTCTTCGGCCGTTATTATGGTAATCTCTGCGGTGAGTCCCCGGCTTGGGAAAGCTAGAAACACAAAAGTTCATCAAAATTTCATTAAAATCTATCGTGGTGGAGTTCGTTTTTGTTGTTGTGTGTGTTATTGATTTTGCTTTTTAAATATTTATTTTTATTTTTGCGATCATAGTTCGGTAGGTCAAACACGCTTGATCGTCTATTAGCCTTGGCTTTCGAAATCGCTGAACTTTTAAGCCTGGCAGGTGTTGGGCATGCCGTCCTAAACGGAACGAAACGGAACGGCGGAACGGCGGACCGACTGCCATTGTATAAGACTTGGCAAATGTATTAAATCAGATTTTGTTTGTATTAATATATCATTTTAATAATTTGCTTATTTTTTGCGAAAATATCAAATTTATGCGAATTTCGGGTCAGTTGGAATTTATTGTTGATAAGCATATGAAAGTTGTCTGGTCCTAAAAGCCGCTTAGAAATAGCTCGCAGTCAAAACTTTCTTCGGACATTGTGAATCTCCGTTTTACACTTGATATACGGTTATATTTCTCTGGGTTAAATTGCGAAAACTGAATAAGAGACCTATATATATATATATATATTATATATAGATATTTCTTTATGGGCTGGACTCATTTACCGACCGAACGCCCAGATGTCATCCATTTGATTTGTAGTCTCTTAACTACTCTCTAGAACTGCTTCTGAGCATGGCAAACCAAAAGTTAAGTTAGAATCAACTTTGAAATGCTCGACTAGCAGATACCTCGCTACTATAAATCTCAGCAGTTACTTCTTTATGTAATTTGTAGTATATATATAAATGTTGATTGCATATCAAAGTATTATATATATAAAAGTATCAGTAGTTATAGCTTGTAGCAAGAAAAATTCCTACTACTAGCTCTACTACTACTAGAAATACCCCTTCTAATTAACTTTAACAATTGCAGGGCATTGTGATACTAAAACTGAAACTCACTGAGCCACAACGGCGCCGTCATCAAACGGCTTTCAGCTGGCCACAGAGAGTTTGAAGCATTAGTTTTAATGGCTTATGAAATATCTGTAAAATGTATAGAACAGCCGCCGACCATAACCGAAATGAAATAAACAGAAACACTTTCAAATTACTGCAAAACACAATTGTTTATCGGCAGGCCAAGAGCTTAAACTCAGTTGCCGAAAAGCTGACGCATAGCCAATGCCCAAACATTACACAAATCTAATAATTGGGGGCTCTGTCTGTCTGATTCCGCCTCTATGTGGCTGGCATTGACATGACTATTTTTAATATAATTTCTTGATTTCTATATGCAATTAAACTGCCAAATGGAGCGCAAGTTCCACGATTTTGGGCAGAGCATATTGATGATTAGAATTCAAATTTTATTAAAGAATATTATATATGATATATGTTTTTTGTTGTGCATGCATACGACAGAAATCTGACGCCGTTTTCCTTATCGCACGCCATATAAATTGACAAATGATAATAAATATCTCATATTTAGCTATATAGATTAGGGCCAACTTGCTAGTAATGTGTGTAATGTTAACCTACTGCTTCTAGAAAAGCTTTCAAAAGATCTTTGTTATTGTTTCACTGTCTTCTCTGAGATCCTATGATCTCTGTGTGAGATCATAGGAGGTCATTTGATCATTGATCATTTAGGATATATTTATATATATATATGTATATATATATATATTTATATATCTTATATCCTATATCTTATAATCTTTCTTTATATATTCTAGGCCACAGAAAACTTTTCTGATTCATTCATTCGCTCAATGAGTGTTTTTATTGTCCTACTCACAAACCTTAATACCATATTCCCAGAGATTTTTTAACGATGTTTCTTACTTTCAAGATGAGATCCTATGATCATTTATTTAAGCGTCGCTGAGCTCATCTTGTTTTAAAGCTGTCATTAGTTAAATTTGCTTAAATTGACGTTGAGTTTATTGAACCCGTTTGAGCAGCAAATTGACAAAGCTAATTTGTTTGCTTTCTAAAAAAGCAAAATGAAAATCTGTCAAGAGTTTCCTTCCGTGCGAAAAGCTTCCTCTCAATCGGCTCCGTTTTTCTTCTTTTGTCTTTCGAGTCAAGCGTTATAGATTTCTTGCAACAGCAAAATTGCTTTGGATTGACAGATACACACACACATGCACACATAGTTAGTGTAATTGGCATGTTAATTACAGGCTGGTTATGACGCGCATGGCAACAATTAAATTTAATTAACATTCGTGTGCAGCTCCAGCGGGCGGGGACTACAAAAAATGCACAAAGAGCGCAGCCAGGTCTCAGTCTCAGTTGCAGTTTCAGTTTCTTCTAGGCCAAGACGTCTGCATTGACATTCAGTTAATTTCATTGAGTTTTCACTTGGCTAAGGGGTCGCGGGACACGGGGCACGCGACACAGAACTGGAACTCTTGGCACGTTTTCATTGATCTAGAAACGACGGCAGTTTTTAATAGATCGCTTAATCTGTATCATATATTCCGGTTTTCATCTTGCATAGCTTAACTATTTTTCAATGGGTCAGTCAATACGAATTGCTCTAAATTTTCCACAATTCTGAATGTTTAATCTATGACGAAAACTGCTTTACATTTCTCTCCTCCCTGCTTTCGATCTTATTCTCTCTCTCTGCCTCTCTCCCTCTCTCTCTCTCTGTAATTTTGCTCTCTTCTTCTCTCTATCTCTCTCTGGCATATCGTATAATGAGCTGTCGGACTTAACCCCACTCTGAACCCACCACAAGAAAATCTTTTTCCCTTGCTTTCATTCGTGGGTTTCTGTTGTATTTTGTTTTTGTTTTTTTTTTCATTTTGTTGAATTTAACATCAGGCGAAACTCATGAATATTTCATAGACGAAATCCTACGTAGTGCGTGCATCGTGTTATATATTCAAAAGCTATGCAAATCGATGGCATCAGAAGTCAGAAATCAGTAATCCAAAAGAAAACAAAAATGGAAAAATAAAAAGAATTTCAAAAACAGTTTTCTACATGTGTAGTTTTCGCTGTGGATTGTTTCCATTTATATTTCTTATTTGTGTATTTTGCATAGCTCAGTAGCTACCTGCAATCGCACTCGGACTCGATTCTCCATTTCTAATTACTAATGCCCCATTCCCGATACACCCGATACCAGATTCCGAATTCCAATTCCGATTTTGAGCACACATCCGCTGACGCAAACGTCGCTCCATAGGCCTGTTTCAAAGTGAAGCGTCTTCATGTTTATTTTTTTTTCTTTTTTGGAATATGTTAAACAATTCTTGCACCTTGATTTTAATGAATCACTGAAAGACGTCAAGCCCCTAGAAACACCCACAGCTCCCAGTTCCAACTGAGCTCTGCTCTTTTGTTGACTAGTGCCATTTGCACTATCTACCGACAATACTTGGTACACAGATAATCAGTTACATCGTTATACCATAGGCAAACTCGCACTTTGGGTGCATAATCTGATAATAAGATATTGTTAGCTTTTGTCTACCCCACTGTGAGTGCCAACTGCTTATCAGGCGTAAGCAGGTATCACAGTGTTTATCTTAAGCTCTTGCTGGGGACAGTGTAGTTTTGCTAGGAAATGTGTATAGATTAACATTAGATAGCTCGAACTTCGAGCTGATTAGCTTTATTGATATTTTTCAAATAAATGGAATGGATTCATTTATATTATCTCTAGGTGATTGAAATGTAGAAACATCGAACTTCTTGGAAGTTTTATCATTATAGATTCGATTGCAAAGAAATTTACAAGTTGTTTTTATTGCGTTTACATTTTAAGCTACAGATTTAAATATGGAACCATTAAAACTTTAATGTTTTGTAAAGACATGCTTACAACACTTTATAATTACAAGTTTTACAAGTTTTACAAGTTTACGGATACTTGTAGAAAGCTTCAATTTCATTAGACTAAAGAAACTGTTTTCTGATTAAAAAGCATTATATATCGTAGAAGTATTCGTCATAAGCTCTATACTAATAGTTAAAAGCGAATTTATATATCACAGTTTTCTAAGATAAGTTCATTTTGCTTTGATATTCTTATGGCTATTTTTCTCATCGCTACTATTTCTCTATCTTTCGCAGATCATTGGCACCCAACAAATACTCGTACGCCCTGATGGTTACTTCATTAAGGATCGCACCATATCTAGCTCATCGGACAACTCGAATGCTACAAACAACACAGCCTGCTCGCCTCCACTAGCCATTGGTTACACCGGCGAGAATAGCTCAAATAACAACAACAATATCAATACAACGAATAACATCACAAATGCAAGTGGCAGTAGCAGCGGGAACAGTGCCACGAATGGCATCTGCCTCAGCACCTTGGAGAACAGCAGCGAACTCATATTGCCCATTGCGGAGGCCCAGTCTGCTGGGAAGCCCCTAAACGAAGCAATCGAGGAGGTGAGTGAGTGGGGTGATGGGAAGGATGGGGAAAGAGGGAGATAAATAGTTGCATGGAAAGAGGAGCAAAGAGGTCGGAAGAGACAGAGAGAGAGAAAGAGTGATGAGAGCTACGGACGGAATAAAGGCAGGCGGATAGGCAGATAGAGAAATTTAAATTTAATATATATATAAAATCAGACGAAATTAACTATATAGGTCAGACGTGAAGTATAGATTGGAAAAAATTTACAATTCATACTGCAGCTATCGCGCGTGGGAGTCGAGCTAACGTATTAGATAAGATAAATCTGAGAGAGAGCGAGAGGGAGAGAGAGAGATAGAGAGAGAGAAAGGTAAAGCGAGATAAAGAAAGCGAGCTAGAGAGTGAGAGATACACAGAAGAAGAGAGAGAGAAGCTGATAGAAAGAAAGAAAGAAAAAGATGGAAAGGCACGGAGAAAGTAAAGGATATAAGTAGAAATAAAGGGTGAAAAAATATACATAGAGAGAGGGAAAGTAAGATGGAAACTAAGAGAGATTTAAAAAAACGCGCTTTTTTTTTTACTAATAATCCATGTGATAATCCCTGCTGATCTTCCTACTAGTCTAGCCGCAGCTTAAGACTGGAAAATTCAACGATCTATAGATAAGGGAACGAAATAAATTTTTCAATAATTCATGCTGACTGGAATTATTTGGATGTTTCTTCTTGTCGAATCATTGGGGACTGCTGTTGCTCATTAGGTTTCGTGTTTCTCTTTCAACCCTGGACAACGCCACTGATTGGGAGCTGTGGCAGTGTTCGACTTGAAATCTTATCACAGTCTCTGATAAGCAATACGTTGCTCCGCTACTTAAGCATTTCGACAGGCACCGCGCCCCCTTGCAACGCCTTCTCGTTACGGAAATGTAAACGCTTGTAGGGCAAATACTTATGTAGAACCAAGTAGATGTTGCAGATAAAGGTTCTCGCAGATCGGAGAATGAGTATTGTAAACTTGGGTGCAGCAGTCTTTGTTACACTTTGTTTAACTATGTCACGTAAATGGTTTATGCATTTAAGTGAATTTCAAATTCAGGCGAATAAAATATATGTATATTAACTAAACAGCTGTTTGACTGAATAATAATCTATATCAAACATGTATAAGTCTTAAGTGTTTGATTATACAGCCACGTGTCGCGATTTTATTTAGTGTAGATGGCTTACATAAAGATGAGTAGAATATTATATTGGAACAAAGTCAAGGAATCGATTACTATATTGAGCTACAACTAGATTGATATAAACCTATTGGGCATATCTTTTCCAAATAGGCTTATCATACAATGAGGTCTAAAATTTTGTTATTCTCTGCACTTTTTTAGCTATGTCTGTTTAAATATATAGCAATAGTTTCATAATATTGACTATGGAAATGCAAATCCAAGGTTTGATAACTATCAGCTTTGATAGCTATGTTGTTTGGGACTAGCGATCTTTTCTTAGAGTGCCTTTAAGAGTATTGAGCTGTGTCCAAGTCATAAATCCAATGCTAAACACATCGAATGTAGCTTGCGTGTGACCTCCAACTAAATACTCTAATGAACTCTATAATCTCTCAGCTAGAGGATGTCTAACTAACTTGGATCATTAAGACGTTGTTGTACTCTGCACCTGAGTGCCATTAATCTACTTTATGGAGTGTGTGGACGGCTGTGCGTCAATTAGATGTCATATTATATATATAGATGTATACGAATGTGACTTTGGCAATAGATCTGTAAGCGACACGTGACGTAATGCCAACTAGAATGAGCGCAAGAGAAAGGAGAGAAAGGGGAAAGCGCGGTTATTGCGTGCGTCTGCTTTGGCTGGCATACTAATTTACTTGGTCAATACACAGTTGGCTATAAAATGACGAGAACGTTGCTCTCGCAAATATTTGCCGTTACAAAGGGCCTCGCTCGCTGAGGCTCAACAGGCGGCCCAGAGACAAGCTCTATTCAGAGATTAACCCGAGCTAATGCGACATAAAGCTGCTTGTTATGTTTACTCACGATGACTTGACTAAAAACTGAAAACTATAGCTAAAACGATTTGTTGTTATTTCTGTTATTTATTTTCCATGTAATTGATAATAATTGCAGCAACAACAACTACGACAAGAGCAACAACAAATACTAAACGGGCTTAAACAAATCGCATTCGTAACCTAGAAACTTGTGCCAAAAGAATTAGCATAGAGCCAAATAATCCCCACAAACCTTTCGTCAGCTTTGAACCGTTGAACTTTGTGTTGTATTATCAGCGTCATTGCAAATATTCGCACTCTATATGGAATACATATCGCTCATCGGGTTTTTACTCAATTAACAGTTCATTTGCTTAGTATATCTCTTGCTGTTTAGGTTATTAATTGAAGATAATATTTGTTCGGAAAGTTTTAACTAAAAGGTCTAGAGGTACTAAATATTACAAATTATTTTTGCGAAATTGCATATTGAAGTCTACAACACGATGATTCTAGTAAGCGGGGCCAAGGTATGAAATAAAGATATTTGTTTATGGACTAGAAAATACACTTTTGTGAGTAATATATTTGGTAAAGCCAGCTCTATTGCTCAAGTCGGGAGTGCCCGACTAGTAGTTACCCCGAGCACTGCGCCTTTTCGTTCTACTCCTCTTTTATACATAAGTAACAAAAAACACCTGAACACATTCACCGCGTTATCGATATATATCGATAATAGCTATAATAGCTATACAGGAATATATATTCGAAATTTCAAGTCTCCTTCTCTATCTCATTGCTTATATGGACGGAGAGACAGCCAGACGGATAAGGTTAAATAGATTCAGCTGGCAAAGAATGTATATAATTAATGGGGTCTGCTATGCTTCCTTCTGCCTCTCACAAACCTTCATACAAAATCAGTATACTCTTAATTTCCAATAGGTTGCAGGCTTAAAAATAGTATAAAACGGGGTTAAATCTATTTTTATAGTGATTAGATCAATTTTGTTTGCGTTTTCCACAATCGAAGCTGTGAGCTAATAACAAATACAGAATCTGGGCAGAAACCGGGTTTATATAATTTTATAAAAAATACTTTCTTTGGGTAATACCTACTAGTATAATGCAGTTAATAATATACTATGCACTATATAAATAGATAAATATATTAATATCTGAAAGGCGTGTAATGCCTGCTAATATATAATATATATTTGTTAAGACGGCCATGTCTAAGCCAAGATTTTATATTATTTAGTACGGAATTGCTTGAAAGGGGCTTCGAGGATCACTCGAATATTTGGATACCAAAGCAGTAAACTCTTGGAATAATTAGGCATATCTGTTTTTAACTTATTTTATATGTTCTTCTTTTGCAGTTCGATGGCTATCTACGCTCCTTATCGCTGCACGATACGGAGATCAAGCTGATCACCGATGGTCAACTGCCGTTGCGCCAATGTCTGCATCGGGAGGCCTGCGCCAAGGATGTGGAGCTGCCTGCCTATTACAACAGATTCAGCGATCTGCGCAAAGAGTTCCAGCGCTATAAGTCGGGCGATCTGTCGCGTGCCCTCGTGCCCCTCAAGGACATCAAAAAGATGCTGCAGTCACCTGCGTTGCCCATGCCACAGTCCATTGGTGAAATGCTTAAAGGTGAGTGGGGCCTGTCTTGCCGTTAACCTCAATTCGATAATGATTTCATCTCCATCTCTGCTTTGTAGAGCTGAATGCAACGTCTGTGGACGATAATGATTTCTATATTCGCGAATCCCGCGATATGGTCACTGTGATTCAATCATTGCTTCAGGCGGGTGAGTTTAGTTTTGGGGGTTTTTTGTTTAAATTGAGAAATTAATATAAGCTTTATTTATTTTCCTTTTTAGGTCATAAGTTTGAAACTAATGAACTCGTTAATCTTGTGCTGGAACCTGGAATTTGGTAAGTCAAAATAATATCGTTAGCTTAAGGAGACATTGAACATTGACGAGCAGCAATCCATCCCCATCGACCTTATGGATGAATCAGTCGATGTTGATGGATTTTGGCTTATGAAAAGATTAAGAGTTGACTAAGTTATTAACTAGCAAGCGACTGACCGAATCAAATTCTAAATAATGAAGTAGAAAAGAAAGCAGAAATAAATGTTTTAATCACAGCTTAGCGAATTATATGAATTCATCATAAGTTTTGCATAAAATTTTAAACTATGGAACGTGAAAGAAAAGCGCTGCATCAGTTCATAAAATAATTTATTTACACTTTTGCTTTTCATAATTCAACTTCATTATATGCAATTCATAAAAGCTAAAGTACTGCAATGCATAGAACATCAATTGGACTCGCTTAGTTAGTCATTGCATATAATAAGTGTGGTTACAGTTGTCTTCAGCTTAGCCTCTGACTGGATACTCACTAGAGCGAGCTTGCCACAGTGCTATATAGTTTTATATGGTCATATTGTTAAAAGTCATTATTCATAACATATTAATCAATTATTTCAAAACATTCTTAAAAAATTTATAAGTTTGTTGCTATATTAAATATAAATATAAACTTATTAACTTATTATATATAATAAATATTATTAAATATAAATAAATATTATAAAACATTCAAACTAGAAACTAGAAACTTTTCATGTCTAAGTTTTTGTCTTCGACTTAGACTTAAAAAATAACAAATATAAATATTATTAAAATTCAGTGAAGTAAAAACTTTCGTGAAACATTTAAAATTGGATTGCTTTAGATGAGAGCCACATAATTGAAGTTATATATATATATACAAAAATTAATCAATGAATCAATCAATAGACGATATAATATTGTCTACAAATTTAAATAATTAACTGACTTGAATATACTATATATATGAACATACATAACCAGATACAATTCCAAATCTTATATAATATTAGATAAGTAACATTATAGGAAAGGTAACTCTGACTCAATATTTGTAAGAGCTCTTCAGAAACATATTCAGTACCTGCCCTCGCTTAGCTGTGCTCTCGTTCGTTGACAATCGCTCAACGGGTTTGAGTGGCAAGTCTCAATTTCAGGCAGAGAGTTATTTTAGTTTGTCAGTTCTCAAGCGAGGGAGAGTCTTTTGAGCGCTCCAATTTTGTGTTAAGGTCTGCACTATTTCAAGTCGGCCCCAGCCCAAAAACACTCAGAGTAAATAAAAATAAATGAAAAGGAATATTTTGAAAAAAAAAAACCATTCAGAAAAAGAAATATTACTCAGAACAAATTGCGCGCGACGCGACGCGACAAAAGTCGTGGAACGGATCGCGGCTCAGTCGGCGATTGGATCGGTGCGCGATAAGAACTCGTACCCGAGGCACATCTCTCCAGTATAGAGAATTGGAAACACATCGAATTGTGAGAGTTCTTGATGAATAGTGACTATTGTTATCGCTGAAAAAAATGAAATGAAAATTAAGTGAAAAACACATTTGCCATAATCTCTAGCTCGACAAATAAGTGTGTCACATAAATAGAGTCAGAAGTTCCACTTAGGGGCACACAAGTAAAAACCCATTAAAAGCAGTTGCAATTAGTGTTCAGGTAAAGCAAATCAGTGCAAAACATTTATCGATACGCAAACAGACTATATTCCATTAAATTATGAATATATTTGGCGTTTTGTTTTCTACTTTTGTGCTGTCGCTGCTTCTTCTGATTATTCATGTTTTTATTTGTTTGTGTTGTGACAAACTCAATGTATGTATATATATATACATGTGTGTGTGTGTGAAAAGTCAGCAAAAAATGTTTATGTTCTTGAAAAACGAAACGTGACTTCAGAGAAGAAACTTAAGTATAAAAACTATAAGTGTAACTCGATTGAAAAAAATTCCACAGACGCCCAAGTCTAGCCTATTGCATAAACAGGGCACAGCTTTGGGATTTGTCAAATAAAACTCCAATATATAAAACAATATAAATATAAATATATATATATATATATATATATATATATATATATATATATATATATATATATATATATATATAAGTAAGCTTAGCTATATATTTATATATATATATATATATATAAATATATATATACAAGTAAGCTTTAGCTCCTCTTACATTACAACGAATTTGTCTGAAATTGTAAACTGAAATCAAGTTTTGTATTTTTTCTGGCCTCTTTCTTACAGCTCAATTGACGACGAGGTAGACGGCAATTGCATTGTGCGTGCCCGTGGACTGCCCTGGCAGAGCAGCGATCAGGATATAGCCAAGTTCTTTCGCGGACTCAACGTAGCCAAGTGAGTAGATCAGTGGCTGAGTAGAAACATTAATCTTTGGTTTGTCGATAGTTTCAATACAATTAATGGTATAACAGAAGCGAATAGGCTGTAGCTAATGATCTTTGGTGTTATTTTTATACGGTATAATAATATAACTTTACTAAATGATTATTTAATGCTTTTGACTCTAGACTTCTAGACTTAAAATCAATCAGCTTTTCGAAGTTTAAAGCGGATCAATCACGAATGCTCGCACTTCATTAATATTGCTTGGAATATATTTAAAAACGAAAAGAGTATTTGTCAAGCATAAAGTATTTCACAATTTCTCAATATTTCAATTAATATTTGAAGAGATTTTTGATGTACTCGAAATAACGAAAAGTATAAAATATTCCTAGTGTTTCCTCTGTAGTTCTAATACTCGTACAATCTTCACAAACAGATCTTTAGGCAAAGATCTAGGTATTGGCTGCATTGACATGTAGCATGATAAAATCGTTATGCCCTCTGCAAGTGTATAGTCACATAGATCGACGTAACCCATTGATAAGCTGTGCTCGGCGCGCGTCTTATCAAAGTTCAGCGGGTCGACGGCAGATTACGGACGCCCAATGAAATTCTTAGCTATTTGCCAGAATTTTCTTTATCATATGTATATGTGTTCTTCTATCTTATACTCTACCTCTCTCTCTCTCTATTTTTTTCTCTCTCTTGTCTCCTTTCTCCCTCTCTTCACACTCGCGTACAGAGGCGGCGTTGCTTTGTGTCTTTCGCCGCTGGGCCGGCGCAACGGAGAGGCTTTGATTCGCTTTGTCTCACAGGAGCATCGCGACATGGCTCTCAAAAGGCATAAGCATCACATCGGCTCGCGCTATATAGAGGTATATCGTGCATCGGGCGAGGACTTCCTGGCCATAGCCGGAGGCGCTTCGAATGAGGCGCAGGCGTTCCTCTCCAAGGGCGCCCAGGTGATAATACGCATGCGTGGACTGCCCTACGATTGTACGCCAAAGCAAGTGGTAAGTGTGTGGGAGGGACGAAAAGCCAGCTGCACTTAGAGAATTAAATAACCATTAACTAAGCTAAATGCTTCAATGCCTCGCTGACTTTCGCTTTTTTGTGAATGCACTCATTTACTGTGAATATACTCATTCGCCTTTCCGTTGACAGCTGGAATTCTTTACTACCGGCGAGTCGCCTTGTCACGTCCTGGATGGCAATGAGGGCGTTCTCTTTGTGAAGAAGCCCGATGGACGTGCCACGGGCGATGCCTTTGTGCTGTTTGCCAACGAAAGCGATTCGCCCAAGGCGCTGGGACGCCATCGGGAGTCGATCGGGCAACGGTACATCGAGCTATTCCGTTCGACAACGGCGGAGGTGCAGCAGGTGCTGAATCGATCGATGGATCCGAAGACCTACGAATCGAACAATCATGGCCAGCCGCCGCTGATAGCACAGTTGCCCACCATGCAGTTGCCGTTGCTGCCGCAGGTGGGTGCCGCTGCTGGCCACGCCCTCAACCCGTTGACAGCTAACGCTAGCCACGCTAACCTGTGCCCCCCACTTACCCATGCCCCACAGCACCTCATCACCTCGGGCACCACGAAGAACTGCATACGACTGCGCGGCCTGCCCTACGAGGCGATGGTGGAGCATATACTACATTTTCTGGACGACTTTGCCAAGCATATCATCTACCAGGGCGTGCACATGGTCATCAATGCGCAGGTGAGCGAGAGCAATCCCTAGTTTTGTCTGTTTACGAGAGTAGCCTGAAAAGTTTCCGGGAAAAATGGAAATAAATTTATATATTGTGATGCTTATAGTTTATATATCAATATATATATTGCTGATCTTTTTCAGGGCCAGCCCAGCGGCGAGGCGTTCATCCAAATGGACTCGGAGGACTCGGCCCGCCTCTGCGCTCAGCGGAAACACAATCAGTTCATGGTCTTTGGCAAGAAGTTCCGTTATATCGAGGTCTTCCAGTGCTCCGGCGATGATATGAATCATGTGTTGAATGGTGGCTTGGCCTCGCCGGTGGCACCGCCTCCTCATCCTAGCCACGCTCATTTGGCTGCCGCTGCTGCTGCTGCTGCCGCCGCTGCTGCTGCGGGCAAACAACCGTCGCTGCTCTCTCCGGGTATGTTAGCTCAACCGCCGCCGCCACCCACCGGCGCTCAGGGCATCGGCTCACACTCGCACACACACGCACACTCGCACACCCACACGCATGCGCACGCTCACTCACATGCTGCAGCAGCTGCTGCGGCGGCTGCTGCTGCTGCTCATCATGCATTGCAAACGTCCCCGGCTGCCGCGGCCGCTGCTGCGGCCAGCCTAATGGGCGCCACCTCACATGCACCGCTCACAGCGGGCACGGCTAGCGGATTGGCGGGCTTTATGAATGCCACGCCCCCTGCTACCATGTCCAGCCATTCGTCGCTGTCGAGCAGTGGCTTGGCTCAGGGTGGCCTTTCCGCCGCTTCACATGCTGGCTATCATTTCAATCTCTCGCTGCCGCCGTCTGCCGGCGCTGCTGCTGCTGCAGCTGCTGCTGCCTCCAATCCTGCACTGCTCGCCCAGCAGCAGGCGCAGTTTATAGCCCAGCAGAATCTTCTGGCCCGGCAGCAAGCAGCCGCTGTGGCTGCAGAGCAGCAGCAACAGCAGCTATACGCAAATGCCGCCATGCTGCAGACCCATCAGCTCTACATGCAGCATCCAGGTGCTGCTGCCGCTGCCGCCGCCGCTGCCATGGGCAGCCAGCCGCAATTCGTATTCATGCAGCGTCCCTATATGCAGCCCTTTCCCCTCAGCTACATGCCCGCCGCCGCGGGCTATCAGTTCGCTGGCGCCTCCACGGCCGCCGCGGCAGCTGGGGTGCCAACGAGTGCCACTGCGGCGGGCGCTGCCACTGCAGCGGGCAATGCGGCCCTCGCACTTCAAACGCATTCCATGAAGCGCTCCTATGAGAATGCCTTCCAGCAGGATCCGACTGGAGCAGCGGCTGCAGCGAGTGCTGCCAAGCGTGCCTTAACCCGAGTGCCCAGCAGTGTCTATTCCTACTATAATCCAGGCATTTAGTAGCTTTCCATCATGATTGATAATTGATGATTGATACGAAAATCTTTCTTCATTAACGTTCATGATTCGACTGGATGTACTCAATCAATTTTAACCAATTTAGATTATTTCTTATTCTCTATCAATCATACTCGTATGATTGCAGCTTTTAATTGACTTACAGTCAATCAGACTTCCATGCGCGCAGCTCATATCTGTACGTTTGATTGACGTGCTCTGAAAAATAATTCCAATCTGTTTTCCATATTCTTAATCAATCATTTTTGATTAATAGGTTTATCATTAGAGTAGAACGTATCTTGTTTTATTGTTTCATCAATCACAATTGATTGAATAAATTCTTAAATGATTTACTTTCAATGAAACTCCAATACTTCAAGCACATTCCTCTCGCTATCTTCTTGACATGTCGATATCTCAAGCAAATATCCTTGATCAATCGTGCTTGATTGATATGAATTTCTATGCAACTCTAACACTTCTAACACATTCCAAGCTTTTATATTCTAATACATTTCACTTAGAGGATTTTTACCTGTTATCAATCAAGATTGATTGGTTGACGCTTATCAAATCAAACCTTCGACTCTTATCTTCGGCTCTTGCAATGCATCTTGAGTGGCACTATATATGTATACCCTATATATTTCATTGCTCATCTTGGCAACTCATACACACACACATACATACATATCCACACACACACATACCAGACATTTTTAATTGTAAATTTTTATAGTGAAATTTCGTAGTCGTAAGTCAAGCGAAAAGTAAGGAATTTGTTTAAGGTCTAAGCATTACTTACATATATCTGTATATCTATATCTATACACTGCACACAAACACGCACACATACGGCATACACACACACCCACACACACACACACATACACCCACACACACAAACACATCCCGGGCAAGCTAACAAATGTGCAAAGCAAAATTGTTTTTGTCTGTTTTTCGATTCTCTTCCAAATTGTTTGTAAACTAAAAATAATAATGAAGCTGATTCGTAAGCTATATAATATTTAACTGATACGTGTAATGTGTATGTGCTTGTGTGTGTGTGTGTGTGGGTGTTTGCGTGCGTGTGCGTGCATGTGCGAAGCGCTACTTCAACAACAGAGGCTAATGTCCTTCGGGTAGCGAGCGTTGGCTAACTGTCTGTGCCGGACAGTGTGTGTGGGTGCCAGGCCCATCAAGTGCAATTTAAAATTATTATTTAAGCATAGGCACACACGCACCCGCTCACTGCCTGAAGGGCATCAGGTGTTGGCTCATGCGTAAACGAAAAAAAAAAATCAAAGCTAAATCGAAATGTGCAAAAAACAAAAACAAAATAAAAAGCGAAAAATCTTTTAGCGTAAAAACTAGCGTAATCCGTATATACCACATATATACCATATAAAATAATAATAATAATAATCATAATAATGGAATACCCTAGCTTTAAGTCGTACAACTTGTAAAATTTGGTTGGCTACACAAAACATCTTTGATTAATATTTAAAAAGCAAAAAATGTGGAACTAAGCACTAGAAAACTTTCCTGTGTCCACCTGTCGCTGTGGCCACAGCCGCTGCACTGCGATCTGGGCGACAACACACTCACACATCAATATCTTATATGTAATATTCTAAATGTAATCCCGATATACTATATCCTACATATGCTCATTATGGGTTCGCGCAGATCGCAGTGCTCAGCTGTGGACGGTCTCTAACACTCAAAACTCATAAATGGAACTTGAAATTTGATTTTGAATATTTCTTTTTATTATCAATACATATACAAATATCGTATATCGTATACCGTAAATCGTTATATGTATACCATTAGTCGATAACTGTGCGTAACTGGTGTTAGTCGCAAATTGGAATTATTATCGATATATATCAACTCTGTGTGTTCTCTGTCATCACTAATTTTAGTTTATAGTCCAAATCCCCTTTATACTCTTCTCTCTATCTTTCTACACCTCTGCCTCTATATAAATCAGATATTGACATATATATATACATACATATGTATATGTATATATATATATATATATATATATATATATATATATATATATATATATATATATATATATATATATATATATATATATGGTATAAATAAGGGTAAATCCCAAATTGCTTTTGTTTCTTTTGTACGTTCTTAGCGCTTTAGTGTTTGATATATAATTAATTGATATATCTTCTTCTATATATACATATATATGGTTATGGATATTTTTTGGGTTTATGCTCTAAGTATATATCTACAAAATACGATTATATATAGTATGTCTGCCATTGTTTTTATAGGGTAATTGTGAATGTGTTTGATGGGCGCTCATAATTGCGTTTTATAAACCAAATTTGGGCAAGCAGAGAACCAACAAATAATATAAATATATATACATATATTATATACATATATTATATATATATATATATATATATATATATATATATATATATATATATATTATATACATATTATATATATATATATATATATATATATATATATCTATATATCTATATATATATTTACTTATATGCACATCTACAAAAGCAAACATTTACCGATCCTAACTCCACTTCTGCGTCTAACAATCAGTTTTGCGCTGCTTTTTGCATTTCTATATGATTAATGGATAAATAAAACAAAACAAAAAATTAATGCATGGGAAAGATTTTTATAGCTTAGCATCTAAAATAGTTTAAATTGTTAGTTAACTCTTAGTTCATACGACAATCGAGTGGTTTCCCATGGGTTTTTTTGCAATTTATATACATTTATGTTCTATGGCTTCCATACAAAAGAATAAAACTCATAAGCAGCCACTTAAAAAAAAAAAACAAAAAACAATCTTATTAATAACATTTATATTAAAAAACATTTTGAATAACTTAATTAGTTTTAGCACCTAAAAAGAAAACAAAACAAAAACTATTTTTGATATTTAGCCTAGAGACAATCAAACTTTTATTACAACAAATTTTTATACTTCAATAAATATACATTTCGCTACCTGCAAATCTATGAATGCTCGCAAATCCCACTATCTCTTCCTATCTCTCGACCTCTCTCTGCAATTCTCATGCAATTAAAAATCAATTTGAAGTCTTTCTTTCGTATTTATATGAGATCTCCATATTTTTGTCGAAACGCGTTATCTTTTGCCCTGTCTAGCCCTCTCCCTTTCTGCACTTCATCTTTTTCTCGCTCACTCACGCTCACTGATCACTCATCACTCACTTCCATCCCTCTCTCTCTTTTGAGATATTTATACGTATTTGTAACTCTCGGGTCTGGGCTTGGGTCAAGCTTTAAACATATTTTCAGGCGCATCCTCTCTGGGCTCTTGTCTCTGTGGCCGCAGCGGGTGCTTATATAATTTTTGACGGCGTTACGAGTTGCTAAATTGATCAAATTTTTAGATAACTATTTTGGATTTGGAAATGTATGATCTATATACGTTTTTGTTTCTTTTGTCTGTGAGTGCAACTGCGTAACGTCTGCTGGGAAACATCTAAGTCATAAGCCGTATAATGTAAAACGTAATCCGTAATACCACCTAGCTCTATTCTATAGGCACACACTCATCTTGTATGTAACAATGATCAAACGAAGCTATCGATAAATTGTAAAACAACCGACAAGCAATCAAAACAAATATGATAAACAGTCGATAAGTAATCGATCAGTTATTAAAACAGTAAATGCATTTTCGATAAGCAATCGCTAAGCCACCCCAAGTGTTGATAAGCAATCAAGCAGTAGTCGATAAGTAATCGATAGTAAAAGAATCCAGAATACAACTATATGATATCGATTAACTGTCGACGAACGGTCATGTAGTCGATCGATAATCTACAAGCAAATTGATATGTGATAGCCAATCGATTAACTAGCGACAAGTGTTTATATAATATTCGATATATTATCGATAACAAATCAAATTGGTCGTCTGCTGCTTTTGTGTAACTCGTTGAGGAACTGGTTGTACTCTCCTAGAAATAACTGTAATCGCATATATATTTGTGTGTACCATGAATTAACGATAACGATAACGATAACTCCCTATTCATACGCCGTCGTTGTTGTCCATGGTCCAGCTCTCTCTTTCTCTCTGTGTGTGTGTGTGTGTACTTGGTTTCTATTTAATTTTTTTATTACATCTTGAAGGCTGGTTGGTGCTTGGATTAAACAAAAAATCAAAAATGAAAAAACTGAACGGGATAAAAACATGTTTTTAAGTTTACTATGTGCGCAAAATGTATTCATGGTCTCTGGGTAAAATGGTAAATATGTATGTATTATTAAAAATATGTGCATATATATGTATATCTATAGATATATCTAGATATATATGCACATAGGTACTTAAATTTTACATACATATCTTCAAAATCAAATTACAATTACTTTATACTACATGTCTACTCTACCATATTTTGCAAATGTCTAAACGGTGAGTGTTTTTGAATACGATTATACTTAACTTGAACTACAATTACGAAATCATTTATGATTTAACAGATAAGAGTACTAACAACGTATCTAAGCTAACCCTAACAAGTACAACATTATCCACCAAAACCCAGCTCAAGTCTTAGTTTTTCTCTTCTACATCTTTTGTGTTTTTGCTTTTTCAATTATTTACCGTTAGCTTCTTCTACTTCGAGACTAACAAACTATTCTAGCTCCGATTATAATTGAAGAGAAAAATGATATAGTATCCCAGCCATACTCACAACACTGACTTTCAATTATTTTACTTTTGTTGCATAAGTTTTATTCTGAAATGATATTTTCAATTTGTAATCTATTCGTTCTCCTTCGGCAGGTACCACTGTGCTGGGCGCACATTTCGGTGCTCATTTTCCGACTTATGGCGCACCGCCACCGGCGCATCACTCTCCGCTGCTAGCCACACCCCGTGCGCATCACGCCCATGCCCATGCCCACGCCCATGCGCATCATCATCATCATCATCATCATGCCTCCGCATTCTATCCGCCTCCTCTCGTCTACTGGCCGTATCCCAGCCCACCCGTATCGCCCACCACGTACTACAGCCAGCCGGGCGCACATTCGCCCTCCCAGCATCAGGCTATGGTAAGTGTACATTGTATGCATCTTATTGATTGAAGTGATTGAAGAAGATGATTGACAGTTGATTTATTCAAATTTGCAAGACCTTGGAAGCTGAAAAGTTTTTAGATTGATTGATTGATTGTCAAATAGTTGACCTGATTGCCAACAGATTTATATATTAATAATGATTGCACAGATGAAACTTCAATCATTATCAATGACCTACAATTTAATATACGCTAAGATTACTTTTTGTATTGAGTCACATGAATTACAAGTTGAAATTCACTCTGACCTAATGGACCAAATTTATATATATATATATATATATATATATATATATATATATATATATATATATTATATTTTACAGTATCCGATGGACTTTTTTCCACCGTCGCCACTCTCACCGCCCAATGCCGGCATCATACTCACGCCCAACAAGAATGCCGTGCCTTTTGTGCCACTAAAACAAGCAGCTAACGGCAATAACAACAACAACAATAATAGCACCAATAGCACCAATAACATCAACAAACTCGCAACCACGCCAACTATTACTACCGCCAGTGTATCGCAGCCGTCAACACCAGCGCCAATTGTGAATGGCGGCGAAATAGTTGCCGCTGTTGCGCCTGCTCAGCCTGTAAATGCGAGTTCGACACCGCCGCCGTTGATTAGCCCGGACGCGAACCACACGGCAAGCGTGCCAACGTCCGCATTGAAAACAGGCAGCCCCAGCGCCACAGTGAACGCCTCGCCCATTGTGAGCAACTCCTGCGTGGAACTCTATATAACGTAGATACTCTTGCTGCCCTAAACACGCTCTCTCTTTATCTCTTACTCTCTCGCTCTCACTCTCGCTCTCTATTGAGAAAGAGAACTTGTCTTGCCAATCGAAGAAACTTGTTTGTAGTCTAGCTTAGAACCAGCTGTAGTTAAGTCGCGAACCACAACAAAATGCCAAACGGCGAACTGCGGCAGCAGCACTTAACGAAAGGAATCTCGCCCCATTCAAAAACCACAAAACAGAAATTGAAGAGAGAAATTTATGAATTTTTAAAAATAGAATCGGTTTTAATTAAAGCTTTAAGTAGACGCCCAGTGTAAATTGAAAACTCTATTTATTGAACGCCGCATTAAATATATTTAATATACACACATATATATTCCAAATATACATATTAGCGAATTAGCAAAAACAAAACAAAACAAAAGAAAGCAAAAACAAAACAAATACTACAAATTTATCCCTAGTCAATAGTCAAATTATTTATGTATATATAATATATATATATATATATATATATATATATATATATATATATATATATATATTGCAATTATCTAATTTTAACTGCATGTCATGTCAAAAAACGAAATGGAAAAGAAAGAAAATATTGTGCAATTGTCAGTCAAATAATAATAAAAATAAAATAATAGCATATGCGTTGTTTCATAATAATAATGTTTTGTTTAGGCTAAGCCATCAAATTTTGTTACTTGTGAAACCAAGATATCTATTTTTTTAATTTGTTAAGTTTCAGTTCAAAAAACAACAACACGATATTATCAATTGTTTTCAAATACGCAATTATTATAATATAAATCAATAAATGAATCAAAAATTAAATAACTTTTGGGTGCTGTATACTCTTTAATTGCCGTGCCTGTTAATTCGATCCATTTCGATTCAGTTTCTGTTCTCTCCGATCGCTTTGCTCCTATTCTCATTGCTAACGTGCTTTATTAGGGGAGAGCGCAAAGCTGTGAGAGTAAAGCTTTTTATCTTAACTAGCTAAATGGCTCAAAATAACAGAAATTGTACTTCGTGCTTTAGAAAAGGTTCTCTGCTTTAGTTTCTGTTCGCCTGGAGTTCTACCTTAAGAAATGCTGCAGTAAAACAACATTTATCTAATTGAAATCGGGGTTTTTATACCTTGCTCTACGGTCATTTTATATCCTACCCTTCGCTTTCCCTATGGTCATTTTATTTCCAATTGAATCACAAATTTCATGTGGATTTGCTTACTTTTTGACCAGGCGTGCAGAATTAATAATGCAGATGATGGCTGTGCTCTTTTTAGTACGACGCTGCCTATTACAGTTATTTGGTTTGACAAAAAATGTGTTCATTTCGAGACTGTTTGATCTTCTCTTGCTCAAATCTGCTTATTGCAAAGGGCACAGGCGAACACTTACGGTGTGAAAGAGCGAGAGAGAGACAAAGCAAACTTATTGCTAGAGAAGAGAATGAGCGAGCAACTGTGGGGAGTTTCTTTCTGCACAGCTCTATCGGCGGCTTCACCTCAGTGCTGCGCTCTCTTTCTCTCGTTTTGTTTAGAGGCAAGCATCAGGAATTTGGTGAAATAATAAGCTGTCATAAGCCTTAACTGTCGGCTGTTCTTACCATTCAGTGAAAAAAACTCTTAAAGCTTTAAGCACCACTGTTTGCCGCAGCCAATCAAATCTCTTACCGAGTTTATTCAATTATAAATGTCTTGTATGCATTTGTATACCCACAAAACGACACATTAGTGAAAAACTCATTGATAAGGAAATTAGATAGCTTTATTCAGGAAAAAACAGCATACAAATTAACGCATATTAACAACTAATTAATTATGAATAACAGATGAAGCCATAAATAAACACATTTGATTGCTGATAAATCGTTGACAAATGGCGTTACAAACGGACGAAAGTCCCACCGACCCGTTAAAAAACAGTACGGTCGTTGTGAACCATCATCCGGTCGCACCGTACCATAAACCACATTTAAAATAGATTAAATTTGTTTGTTTTTTTTTCCTGTTTTTATCATGCCGCTGCACCTGCTGACTGACCGAAAAGCTTCTCTGCTGATGTCCACATGATAATTTATCAATGGCTGCTGTTTTGGACATTCAGCTAACTGCTGATGTCTCATCTTCTTGGCCCACTCCTCGCCGGTCTCCGGGGCGCCTATCAAAAGTGCATTAGGCGTGGTCCTGCGGCGCGCCATTTGCGTTGACAACTTCGTCCAGGCTGAACGAAAAGAGCAAAGAAAATAGTTGGTTAATGCGACAAAAATGCATGTGTATGTGTCTGTGTGTATGCGTGTGTGTGGCAAACGGCTTGTGGTGCGGGATTCGAACCACGCGCCGTTTGGCATTTTTATGGCCGCACACTCGAGTTGGCAATGCACTTCCTCTAATGCAGCCGGAAATGGCAAATAAATCTCATTTGTAATCGCCAAATATATGTATATATATACTTATATATATATATATATGTATATATTTTAAGCACTTTGGAACAGTGAGAAAAAAGTTGTGACTAGTTCTGCCCAAAACTTTTGCGTTTGCCTCTCGAAAAATGCCTTCAACCAGCCAATGCAACACAAAACAAACAAAATAATTTCCAAAAAAATACCAAAAAAAAAAGGAAAAAAGAAAAAGGAAAAGGATGTCGGCATATTTTGTGGAGCTTAGCGACTTAGCGACTGTCGCCAACAGGCATTGAAAGCCGCGCAAGGGCACTTTCCGGTTCGTATTAAGCCATCGAAACTTTTATTGATTTAGCGGCTTTACTTTTTTTGGGGTTCTGCTGTTGGCCAACAATAATACTCAGAACACCATGAATCATGGGATTAGCTCTATTGGAGAATTTTGATAAGAGGATAAGCCAATATTTGGACTGAAAAAGATTTTCTTTGCTTCGAAATTCAAGCATAAGATCTAAGTGAGCCTCTAGGCACTCTATAATAGGTCTGGGACTTACGATCACGATCTATTGACAAACATGTCTAAGAAAAGATTGTTTCAAATACGAAATAAACTCGATTCACCTTGGAGAAACACAAGCTGTTAGTGAGAAAGGTTAATATATATATTCTATACAATTGCGATGCATTTTGTCTTAATTGTCTTAATCTATTAGGCTGACAGAGTTTGGAATTTAAATACTGATACGAGAATTGACTTAGTATTTCAGACGACTTCACCTGTGTGTAAGAATTCAAGTGTAACTCTGAATAAATACAAATACATTATCTGTTGCAGCTCCTTACAACGTGGCCATGAGTTCTGTGAGTGGGTCTATGTTAGTTAAATACAAGAAATCAAGACCGAAATAAATTAAGACTGGAATAATTAGTAAAATGCTTAAAAGGCAGCCTTTAAATATATATTAGTTTTAATTTTCGTTATATCCCGTTTTATAATTGTTGCTTGGCTTCAACAAATGACTTTACAAAAGATAAGAGAAACTCGTCCAATAGATAGTTAAACATTTTTCAGCAAAAAGGAACTTAAGACAGGGCATAATGATCTGAAAATAAAAAAAAAATGGAATCTAAATGCTTCGATTCGTGGATATTACTCATGAATTCAAGCAGCAGCAGCGAAAGCAGACCCAAATCCTGGTAAAGATGTTAGACACATTCGTTTTAAAGTTTTTTTTGTAAATATCTGGAATGAAAGTCAAATAAATTGGAATATTTAATACATAATCATAAAATATAAATAGTTTCTGCTTAAAAGTAAATCAGGGAATATCAACGAGATCTTAAAGTTAGTTATTAAAGCTATCCTAATGAAAAGTGAGATAATGCCTTATCCTTCTGTCTTTCTTTGTAATTGTAGTCTTGCTTATATTGTTATTAATAAGAAACAAAGCAGCTTAAGATCAAAAATTGATACTTTGAAATTTCCTTTAAGTTTCACAGCTCACAACAAATTTTCCAGCTGCGTCTGAAGCCCAGGGAAAAAGGAAGGAAAACGTGTAGAAAAAGTTCAAACAGCATTTCGACACCTTCACGATTTTTGACCAAATATTTACCCGCAGGATATGCACTCCTGCGACGTGTGCCCCCTCTATAAGCTGCCGCCGTTGCCCCCTCCCTGGCGCGCCGCCCTTGCCTGGCTGTCTGGCATAAGAAAATCAATTTCAGGCACATTACGAGAACACAACCCGAACGGAATTTCAAGTTGATTTTATTATTTACTTGTACTTGGGATTTGTACTTCGTACTTTCGTATTTGTATTTGTATTTTGTGTGTTTGTATTTGCTGTTTGACAGATTTAGCTGAATGCTCAGACAACAGAGACTTTAAAATTGCCCAAGGCCGGGCAGAAGGCAGGGCAAAAAATGACTGCATTGCGTCCTTTTGGGACACGTTATAAGCACTGCCTGCCTAAGCATCGAGGCATTCGCTTCTCCACTTCCCCACTACTCCTCTCTTCGCAACTCGAATAAATCGAAATATTTCGAGTGCGACGGCCAAGTGGGAACTGAGCAATGAAACCTTAAGAGAGCTGGTTGCGTGTCGTGCCTTGACGTGACACGAATGGGAACGTGATCAAGCAGTCACTGGATGGAGAAGCATTTCTAGCAGTACTTCTGATAGCATGCTCTGATATATTAAATAGTTTTTGCATTTAGTGAGCTTCAAGTCTAATTTTAATTTAATTCGGATAATTTCAAAGCGGGAGAACTTTAAAGTATATATTAGATAATTGACATAATTGAGTTTTCAATAAACAATCGATTTCAAACATATCCTTATTGACCTACAAATGTATTGCACATCGATAAATTATCGATATCTTTTACTGCATAATACTATTACCCACTGCCTGCTAGAGGTTGACTGCTGTTCATACAGGTTACTAATCGATTAAGTTAGTAAATGTTTTAGCACTAATTAAAAATCGATAAATATTGATAAGGATAATCGTAAACAAATATTTGTATAATATATATAAGCACACGCTGTCTTCCTTAATATAGCTTTGGCTTCTAAATAGCTGCTTGAGGTTTCTCATTAGGGTGGACCAAAGCGGCGGCAGCTAAACTCAAATTTCGAGGCAAAGTTTTTCTTTTAGCTTTTATCTGATTTAAGCTAAACTACTTTAGGCAATTGATTGCCAAGAGTGTGTATGCCATTGCAGAATGCCTAGTTCCCTCTCTCTCTTTGTGTTTTTCTTTCAGTGTAGCCCTCTCTCTCTCTGTCTCTCTCTCTGAACTGTCTGACTGAGCTGTCGCTTTTTGATGTCTGTCTTCAGTTTTTTTATAGTCATTTTTTTGCCTATTTTTTTGCAGCTCTTGTGCGATTTCATTTACTTTGTGTAATACACACACACACACACTCATCTCCTAGGTGTGTGTGTCTCGTGAGGCAATGAAGTGCATTTGAAGCACGCAGCGCCTTTTTAGATGTATTGTAAAAATGACTGCAGTGGGCGGCACTTTTGGGGGCGTGGTGTTGGGTTTGTCGACGCGGTTCGTTAGTTTTGATACACACACACACACACATGCACAGACAGACAGACAGGAATAGGAAGTAGGCTTGTGTGTGTGTGTGTGTCTGTGTATGGCGTCTGTTTGATAAGTGGCAGCAATTTTTTTGCAGCTGCTGCTTCTTCATCTAGCACTCCTTTCAGCTTAGCCACTTTGTGTGTGTACGTGTGCGTGTGTGTGTGTTGTTTTTTAGCCTGACATAGAACGTCAAGCAGGCATCCTTGCTTGATCCTTTGGCAAGAAATATAAAGAATATAAAAAAACGAACGAACGAACTGGGTCCACTAATGAAATTGTTAATTTTTGTTAGCAAAGTCACGTACACGATGTGTTGATGACGCTCGAGTGTGGCACGCCCACAAGCCCCCCTGCGAACGCCGCTGGCAATTGGCAAGGCGCCGCAGAGGCTAGCAGCGCTGGGCTGGAGGGATGGAGGCTCTCATAAGCTGCAGCATTTTGGTAGACAATTTGCGAGCTAAACTGAATTTATGTGCAACAGTTTTTCTTGTTACGTTGTTTGCTTTGTGAAAATCGAAAAGTTTTTCTCGAGTGCGCGCTGTGATTTTCGCGTGATTTGTGCTGCAATATTTGAGTACAAAAAACCGTTATTTAGCTTATAGTCCCAACACACACACACACAACAGTACAGCACGTGCATGCAACGACTTGCCTCAAAGCCAAAGCCGAAAAAGTCGCATTGCAGCAAAATTTTTGTGTTACGCTTGCCAACTGCGCCCTGAAGGGGGGCTAGCTGTAAGGGTGGCGGTAGGGGGGTTGAAGTTAGTGAGGTAACGGGGTACTGGTTGCCTAGCCATTAATACCATTTACCTATATCTTGGCCTGTGCTGGCACGTAGCCCAAACACCCTGTCTCAACTCTGCATGTCTCTCTCTCTCTCTCTCTCTCTCAGTTGCTCAAAATGTATATTACGTATACGCCAAAGTGGCTGACTGACTGTATACCCTAACTGCTACCCTGCTGCAGCCAACCCTATTGTGGTGCCATTTTGCGCCTCGTCGCTTCTTGTGTTTTGTTGCAAGTTTCGCCTTGCATCTCATTCTACTTTATTCACATTTCTTTTCGCTTTCTTCGTTCCTGTTTCATTTTTTGGCCATTGTATTTATGCACAAGTGCAGAACGTGGCAGCAACAAAATGTCTGCGTTGCATGCAACATTTACTTTTTTATGGTTTTTATTTATTCTTTATTTCTTATTTTATTTTTTTTTTGCTGTTTTTTTTTTTTTGCATTTTTATTGCCGCTTTGTTTGGCTTCTCTAAGAGAATTTGCCATTGTTGCGGTTACATAAAATTCAAATGCAATGAAAATTCATTAGAAAACAAAACAAATTGTTTGCCGTTGCATTATTTTTGGGTAGAGCGCAGCGAGGAGACGACGAGGAGCGAGAATGTGGAAGTTGAATGGAAATTGATCAGCTTAAGGAGCAAAGCAACACTAAAGTCAGCTGCGATAGATTGTAGCAGTTGCATCGAAGGGAGATAAGAAGAAAGAGCTCGTGTTGAGCAGAGTTCCAATATTGTTATATCATATATACATATACATCATGTATCATAAATACCTCACATAGATGGCAATAACTATCGCGTTGAAAGTTGGAAGTCTTAGCTCAGCTATGATATATCGTATAATAAACGAATTGCTATTTAAAGACTGCTTATAAATATATTATAATAAATAATATAAAGATTATTCTACAATATTATAAAGATATATTACCATAATTCAAATGGTTTATGCTTAACCATTTAACTAAACGATTTTCAATTGGTTGTCGAAATAGTTCTCAAAATTTCGTTCCCTTTAGGTCAGATCAAATGCAATGCCCGCTCCACAAAACGAGCAGCAACTGGCTAATCTAATGTAATATCTACGTAAACTATGGCTATTAGGTTTAACAGCTCCTCTAATCCCCATTGCTTCTCCCTCAGTGTGCTGTTCGGGGCGAACATCTGGCAAAGATTACACAACATTTTCTCACCTGTTTTCACAATCAATTTGCGACCGTCATCAGCTGTAATCTTGGCCAAAAAGATGTGGGTGCGCCACATGGTCAATACACGCACACACACACATGCACATCCTCTCTACACACGCACATGTGGCGTATACGTAATCTGTTTAAACACACAATAAATAATGAAAAACTGCGCATATGCGAATAAAGCTGAAAGCGGAATTTGCATATAAAAAGAGCCAAGGGAGGGGAACGGAATACAAGAAGAAGAGGAACAAAGAAAGCACAACAACGAAAAGCCGTAAGCGTAACATACATATAATGGCCAACAGCGGCGCAGGGCCAGGCGGGGCAAAGGGCTGCTGGGGGCATCAGTTAGCTGCGACTAGCTGGTCACGTTTATACCAAAGTCGTAAGGGCGGCGCGGTCCGGGCGGTAGGTGTGGCAATCATGAACATGCCATAATGTTTGTGACCGCGACTATTAAATCAACACACGCGCTGCCACACACACAACAATAGAAGGAGCAGGAGCAATTGGGGCGGGCGGGGGACTGGGCGGTTAGGCGGTCCTTGGGTAGCGCGTGCATATTTCCTATGATTTATTATTATTTCGTGTGGTTTTTCGCTATTATTTAAATTTTAAATAGCTGTAAAGTGCACACACACACACACGCACACACAGTTACACTCGCCCACTAGAAATTGTATTTGCAGGCTGGCTCTGATTTTATTATAGTCCTTACAGCGCTTGCCTTTTAAAATCCTCGTTGCAAGTTGTTGTTGCAAGTTGTTTGTTTGTTGTTGTTGCTGCTGCCGCTGGTATCATTATTATTATCGCTGCCATTGTTTGTTGGCATGTTGTTGCATGGCCCGTGGCTGCAGTTACAGCTGTTGTTATTGTTATTGTTGTTGCTTTAGCGGCGCTGCCATTTTGTGGTAAATAGAGTCGTTTAAATGCATACAAATAGTGCCCAATTCTCTCTCTCTCTCTCTCTCTCTCTCTCTCACGCCGTTTTATGTTTGTTGGTATTGTATCTTTGTGTGCATGTGGCAAGATTTTATAATAACATTCCATAATGCAACGTTCGCATGTCACCCTGCACAACATTAACCAGCCACGTAAATTATTATTTAATTTTTTTTCGTTGCCTACATTTCGAGGCGCTTGGCTTACCATATTCTCTCAAATGGTCACCCGATTAGAAATGCTAAAAACTCAACTTGATATGCATTCGCTTGACCTTATCTGAAGAACTAAGTAAGATAAGAGATATTCTAAAGCCGCAACCGAAATGTTTTTGAAGCAAATTTCTGCAGGAAGAAGCAAACAGCTGAACTTATCCAGGCGGAAAAGTGATTGTGTTAAGTTTCCCTTTGCATTCAGCATTAAATATCGAATCTATTTAAACTAACTTTCTGCATTTGCTGGAATCCAGCGTTTGCCATATTTAAAGCTTGATTTTTTGCTATGCTTCTTGCTTCTCTGTTATTTTCTTCACTCGCTGCGTCACTGAAATTGTGAATAAAGCAAGGTAATACCTATTTATCATAATGTTACGAGTGCTTAGAACTGGGAAGAAGCCAATTGAATAACATGAATAGAATTGAAATACTGCCGCAACACCCCAAGCTTTTGGGGCT